TTGATAATAAAGTATCCAAAAGTAACTTTGGCTGGGGACATTTTATGAGTGCAGCAGCGGTTTGATCTCCTCACCTGACACAGGAAGTTGCTTTAGCCTCGGAAGGACGGGAGAGAGACGGGGGGGGGGGGGGTGGGGGGGGAAGAAAGTTTCTATATTTGTAAGCGTAAAACAGTGAATCAATTGTGAGTCATTGCTTTGTGAAGTCATACTGAAATGTCATCTCCCATCACTCACTCCCACCCCCAGCAGAAAGGCAGGAAATGAAAGGACAGGGGAAAAAAGAGGGGAAGAATGGTGTTATTGACGGAGAGCCAGGACTGTAGCGCTGAAGATAATGTCAGTGTGACACATTCACATATACACATTGTGTCAGCAGTACAAGCTCCTAATATTTTGACCAATGACGACAGGAGAGTGCAGATGAATTTCAGGCTATAACCCATAGAGTGTAAGCTATAACCACAGCTCGTTGCATCCCTCTTGTGGTCAGTGCTTGACATAGCCTAATTCAAAAAGGTTGATATTCAAGTACATGCTGTGTGTCAGGGCTGCACGATATTGGGGAAAAATAAACTAGCCTACATTGCAGTATTTTGCTTTTCTAATATGAATCCTATTACACCAAATGTTTTTTATAACTTAATCATTCGTGAATTTACCATTTTAGAAGGTTTTGCAGTGGTTTTGTAAGGTATCTATATATAATAAACAAGATAGATACAACAAATCCTACTATGCAAGTCAATGGTTACTGAACTCCAACATTTTTCTGAATATCTTCTTTTGTGATTAACAGAGGAAAGAAGCCAAAGGTTCAAGACAGGTGAATGAATAGTGAATGATCACTTTTTGTGTGTACTGTCCCTTAAAAAAATTAAAGAGGCAGGTAGACTAAAATACGAGAAAGTATTCTTTGTTCTCTTTCCTTTCCCTTATTTCAAATCTGTTTAAATTTCTTAAACTTGTTTTTGTAGCTTTTTTTGTAATGTTTAGATGGGTGTCAATGGACTTCCAAAATACTTTTTTTTTCCTATGGTGGAGGTCGGTGGTTGCCGGTTTCCAAAATTTTTCTAAATATCTTCTTTTGTGTTTCACAGAAGAAAAAAAACCCCCAAAGGTTCAAGACAAGTGAATAGAGAGTGAATGATCATTTTTGGGTGTACAGTACCTTTTAGTCACAATTATACACTGAAACATTTAGAAATTAAGGAGCCTGTGCACCCCAGGCTCTTACTTATTTCAAACCTGTTTATTGTTTTTTTTTTCCTTTTTATAAACAATTTACTTAGTGTTTTTGTTTCTGACAATGGAAGTCCATTTTCGAACATTCTTCAAAATACAGTCTTTTAAGTTCAACCAAATAAAATCATTCACCCATTTGAGGATGAATACATGAGTAAATGTAAACATTTAGGTGAATTTAATTCTGCCTTTCTATTTCCATTTTCAACACCTTATATTTAATTTTTGTACTAAATACTCATCCACCTTCATTAAAGGCAAAGGTATCAGATGTTTTGTGCAATCTATTTTATGTTTATTTGTTTATTTTCTAAGCTTAATTTTGTAGCTGATTTTGTGGTAAAATTATAAAATTCCCTGCAAACTCGTCTTTTTTAAAATCACAAATGCATTTTGTAATCAGCCCTCTGGGATTTCTCTGGTGAGTAAAGAGCTAATAAAGTTTCTGTGTTTTTGTTCTGAAAATAAAAATAAAAACAGAATTTCTGTTATTTTATTTATTTATTTAGTTTTTTTTTTTTTTTTTGAAATCTTAATAGAAGACAGTGGCAGATATTGAAAAACCAAAAGTAAAATAACACTACTTGCAAGTGGTTTATATAGTGAAGACCGCTTAAAGATAATAATTCCAAAACTTTTCCAACTTTTAATGACAATTAAAATGATGGTTTGCCATTAAATAAAAACAATAAAAAAAAATCTGTTTTTGCACTATTGATTTTGTATATCGATTTTAGAGAAATTAAAACAGATTGCAGGAAAACCATTATATGAACTTGTACAAAATGCTTCCAAATATATTTTAAGGTTGTGGTAAATTTCGGATGCATTTGCGACCAAAATATTTCAGTTTCAAAAGTAACCTTGGATAAGCCAAAACATTTTTTTATTTTCTTATGTTAGCTTTTGTTGTGAAGGAAGGCTTATAACTTACATACAGTAACAGAAATCCACAATGGTTAACTTTGCAATCAATCTACAAAGCATATGCGTTTCAATCTGTGGTTTTGGTTACCTATAGCTAATCACTACTTGACATTGCACATCCTGCAATGGAACTGCTGCATAAGACGACATAATAACTGAATGTGCACAAATGTTTATTCATTTATTTATTTTGCAGTGATGTCACAAAAGAACAATTTTGTTTTCCTAAAATAACATTTTAGTAATAGGTTATTTATTTTCGTTTTTTCTTAGTGAGAGGAACATCTTAAATTTACAAGCTTTTTTCCAATAATCTTTAAAAATTGTTGAATGGAAAGATTAATTTATGCTTCTAACTAACTGCTTCTATAGTTTAGTGACTTAAGTAAAAATGCTTAAGGTTAATTTCATTCAACTTGAAAATGCAAGAAAATCAGTTATTGTTTTGCAGTGTATCTTTCTTTGAAGTCATGCCCACTGAAATAGGCAAACTCCACATAATTTCATGGAAACAGTACAAATACAAAAAAAATAAAAATAAATTGTGAAAGAAAACAAATTCAAAGCCTCTCTGTCACAAAGACATTGAGTATTTAAAATTAGAATGTTTCATGTATAAGATGTTTTATAATATAAAATAATAAATGTTAATAGAATTTTAAGAAATTATTAAAATTGTAACATTCATTCATTTTCGGCTTAGTCCTTTTATTATCAGGGATCGCCACAGTGGAATGAACCGCCAACTTATCCAGCATATGTTTTACGTGGCAGATGCCCTTCCAGCTTCAACTCATCACTGGGAAACACCCATACACTCTCATTCACATACATACACTACGAACAATTTAGCTTACCCAATTTACCTATCGCAAGTCTTTGGACTGTGGGGGAAACAGAAGCACCTGCAGGAAACCCATGCCAACACAGGGAGAGCATGCAAACTTCACACAGAAATGCCAACTGACCCAGCCGAGGCTCAAACCAGTGACCTTTTTGCTGTGAGGCGACAGCGCTACCCACTGCGCCACCATGCCACCAATTTTAAACGTTTTATACATATATTTTTCATTTTATATAAAATATAAAATGTTATTTAAAAATGTATTGAACTTGTAACAATTTAATTGTGCACCAGAACTGGTGCAGTGCAATCTAGGCTGCATCCAATGCGTTTTATTGGGCTCACCTAACCCCACCCCTAACCCTACACCTGACAGTGACGTCACTCATTCCATTTAAGTGCATTCTGACATTGCATCGCTGAGTAATGCAATCTCAGCTTGCATCATAAAGGCTGCATCCAGATACTATTGATTATATTTGCCAAATTATGTATGTATGTGTGTATATATACAGTTGAAGTCAGAATTATTAGCCCCCCTTTGAATGTTTTATTGCTTTTTAAATATTTCCCAAATGGTGTTTTAGAGCAAGGACATTTTTACAGTATGTCTGATAATATTTTTTTCTTCTGGAGAAAGTCTTATTTGCTTTATTTCGGCTAGAAAAAAAAACAGATTTTAAGTTTTAAAAAAACATTTTAAGGTCAAAACCATTAGCCCCTTTATGCTATATTTTTTCGATAGTCTACAGAACACACCATCATTATACAATAACTTGCCTAATTACTCTAACCTGCCTAGTTAACCTAATTAGTTAAGCTTTTAAATGTCACTTTAAGCTGTATAGAAGTGTCTTGAAAAATATATAGTCAAATATATGTACAGTCATCATGGCAAAGATAAAATAAATCAGTTATTAGAAATTAGTTATTAAAACTATTATATTTAGCTAGAAATGTGTTAAAAAATCTGCTCTCCATTAAACAGAAATTGGGGGGAAAATAACAGTGGGACTAATTATTCAGGGGGGCAAATATATTTATCTTTTACTTCTGTTCTTTTTATTATGTATTCATCAAAAGAATTATGTTGCTTGTTTTATATAAATAAACATTTTTAAATATTCAAGCAGCACAGGTAAATAAATATTATTTAAAAGTTCATATTCCATGGGCTCTAAATCAGTGAATTGAAATGATTCTGGCAGATTCTAAAAATTAAGCTTTACCAGGCAAAAAATAAAAAATAAAAAATTACCATAGCAAGGCTATTAAAATGATAAATTATTCATTTACTACTTAGTCGTACCTATACCATTTTAATCTGGTCATGTCATTGGCCCGTGAACATTCCTGCTTGTTATCAAACTATTTCAGAGCTGTAGCAAGAAGAATTTCAATCATAACTTCATGTTAAAACAGCTATCATAAAGTTACTTATCAATATGTGGCTCTTTTTGAATTCTCGGAAGCTTTAGAAATGAAAAAAAAAAAGTAAAACAGGATATACGCTGGAGCACTGTTTTTGTTTACATCCCTCACAATGGTCTACATGTGTTGTAGATGCGAGTAAATCTATTGCCTTCTGGAATCATCATCTGGAAGTCATCCAAGAATTTAAGCATTGATTAGCCAATATGATCAAACCGTCATCAGTATCTATCAATCAAAGATGAGCCAAACGGTTACCAAGGCAACCGAAGTGCGTTTCAAGCCTCATCCATCTCGCGAACATCAGCTAATAGGAATCGCGCGAAGGCGTGGCCACAACCTGCCCGTCAACCTCCAAGCGCGTCAAACCGTGCGCTACCAGACAAGTTGATGTGGTCCAAGCAGACGCGCGTAGCCTCCATCTACATCAGCAGAGACTTCGAATTTACAGCATTAAAAAAATACCAGATGCATTTCAGAAAGTAGGTTAGCAAACACCTCCGAGCAACAAGCATCTCGTGATTCTTGTCCTAAATACACAGTAGTAAAACACACCCTTTCCTCTGGCTGTGCGGAGACGTGGCGCAGGTGAGTGACACTTTTATCAGATTATTGACGGCGTGTGATGCTGCTGCTGCTGCTCCAGAAATGACTGTCAGACGCGACTTAAAATGGCATCATCTCTATATTACGGTTTGCGTGACGTCTGGAAGAGTTTTCCCGCTGTCATAACTTGTTATTATCACGAAGTTAGTGGTTCTAGACCTTGAAACGCGATGTGTTTGTGCCACTTAAGTGGGGGTTTAAGCCTGTGATTCATTATTCGGTCATATAACAGATTGTTTTTACACCAGGGTGATGATGTGCCTTCGCAAGGCTGGCAAAGACCACATGATACTTAAACACACAGTAATGTGTTTGCTAAAGGTTTCGTGGGGCATCTGACAGCACGTGACTTACTGAACAGAATGAAGACTTACTGTAGTTTTGGTCCTGTTTGGTTTTGGTTCATGCCGATTTTATCATGCTAAATAATAATGCAAACATAGAACTAAAAGAGTGCATTGCTCACTGTTCCATATCTTGCTTGTCTCCAAATATATTAATTATATAACCATATGCACTCGTACATATTTTATACAAGAGGTTAGTCTGTTATCTTGTTTTCTATTTCTTTTTAATAATATTAATAATAATTCCTTACATTTATATAGCGCTTTACACATTTTTTTGTGGGTAGGCTATCTGTTCATCCACCACCAGTGTGCAATACCCACCTGGATAATGTGATGGCAGCCGTATTGCGCCAGACTGCACACCACACACCAGCTGATTGGTGGAGAGGAGACAGAATGATGAAGCCAATATGGAATCGATTAGGAGGCCATGATTGACAGAGGCTAGTAGGCAAATTTGGCCAGGACTCCGGGTAAACCCCTTCTGTATTTTAGGAACAACCAGGAATTTTTAATGACCACAAAGTGACAAAACCTCGGTTTAACGTCTCATCCGAAACGTACAGTATAGAGTCCCGATCAATATACTGGGGCGTTAGGACCCACACAGACCACAGGTTGAGCTCCCCCTACTGGCCTCGCCAACACCTCTTCCGGCAGCAACCTAGCTTTTCCATGTGGTCTCCCATTGGTGCAGCCCTCAGTGGGCGACCATGTGGGAGTTGCAGAGAGCTAGCTTTTACATGGTTGTACTTAAATATTAGCATTTTGTGTCTCTGCCAAATAAACAAACAAATAATTTGTTATTTTTTTATTTTCGCCAGGTGATGGAGGGTATGCCATTGAGCATGGGTGGGTTGCGAACGCTGCCATGGTATGTGGCTGGCTCTCAAGTGGTTGGGCTGGCATGTGTGGTGATCACAGGTGTGTGGATGGGACATTACCGTGGAGGTTATGCATGGGACGGCTCGGCACAAGAGTTTAATGTTCACCCTCTCTGTATGGTCCTTGGTCTGGTCTTCCTCTATGGAGATGGTAAGAATTAAGGGTTAAAAAACAACAAAAAACAATCTTATTTAACATAAATACATAAATCAAAAACATGATTACATCATACATGTACTCAACATACATTTTGTTCTTTTTCATAGCCAAGCAGGGGAACATTTAGTGCCATGACAGCCTAGAAAACTAATCTTTTTTTCCCCATTTAATCATCTTGTTTTACCTTGAAATTATAGATTAACTTAGTTTTACATGGCAGTGCTTAAATAAAGGCATTGTTTGATGATCAACCCATTTATTCCTGCGTTCAATGAGTGTATGTTAAACTAGTGAATTATTGTAAATCGGGGTTCAAATATTAAAAGTGTTAAATGTTGTTTGTAGTATTAATTATTTGTGTATGCAAAATGTATGTTATGTATCATATTCGGATATATTGATTGATTCATTCTTAAGCAAAGCAGGTGATCATAGAATGCCAGAAAACTAATCTATCTTTTTGCCATTAAATCACTTTGCATTACCTTGAATTTACAAATTGACCCAATTTTGCTTGAGTGTATTGGTGACATGATGAAATATTGCCAATATTAGTTGATCAACACACTTATTCCTTTACCCAAACTGTATTTTGAATCAAGTTTGGGATTGGCAAAATATTGAAAAATAAGCCTCTGATGCTCAAACATCCTGCATTTATTTGCTTAAAAACAGTAATAGCCTCAAATGCCATGACTATTTAAACCAACCGTTTTGCAATGTAATGTATTTCTATAAATCAAAGCTGAATTTGATCACTTTATCCTTAAGGGTCCCATACTGATTACTTTATCCTTCAGTGTTATGTGATTATGTGATTCTTCTTCTTCAGAAAAGACCACACTGGCATGCTTGATCTGGTGAAACATTTCTTATTATCAGTGTTATCAAATTGTATTGTTAAAAATACTAAAAAAATTAACTTTATTTGGAATATATTATAAACAATTTTTATGTAGCTTTGGTGAATCAACGAAAAAATATATACATACGAAGAGTTTAGATGCAAAAACCTTTAAGAGCCATCTGAAACTTTCCTCTTAAATGTGCATTTTTCTGTTTCTGTTCAGCTATTTGACTTTAAAGACAATGAAAATAACATATTAATTGATCTAAAAGTGAGATTACTGAACCTTCACACATTAGCCTGAAAGAAAATGCTAATACTGCTCAAAAAATAAAGGGAACACTCAGAGGCACATTGTGTTGTTTAAGTGTTCTGTTTATTTTGTATATACTGACTTCATACCTTTGAACAATAGTGTTTAGAAATGTACAAATTCCCCCTTACTTTGTTTTGGAAAGTAACAGTAAAAATACTAGTTCACATGAACCTGAAATACAGTATTGTGCTGTATTCTTCACTCCAGAATATTGTAAGAAAAAAAACAGGCAAACAAAAAAGCTTTGATTTTTCATCATAAAATGTTTTCCAATCTTACTTGGTGTTGTCCAAATGTCAGTGGTAGAGAATAGCTGGCTATAGAGCCCAAGAGGCTGGGTGTAATTGTCTAATAAGACATCTGTGTGTCTTCAGCCCTCAGGGTTAGTGCATATGTGACTTAGTGGCTGCAATAAAATACAATTCAGGGCAGGAAGGGCTTGCTAACGCTATTACAGTTCAAATCAGATTTTCTTCGTGATTTTAGTGTGTATTATGAATCAATATGAGCTAGGTTTGCTTCATGGTTGATTTCAAACCCTGCGGAGAGACAATATAATGTGTGTTTTTCCTCTATTAATCAGTAACTGCTGTAGCCAAGGTGACTACAGTTAAAATATAAAGAGAGCAGAAATTATTTTAACCTTTAGAATCACATCCATCTGTCACAGAAGTGCCATTCAGAGCTGGTAAAGCACAATAACAGTTGTTTTGTGCTTCTTCCATCTGGACGTTTAATAAAGCACTCAACAGAGGCAGATACTAATTGAGCTAATTTCTTTAGCAGCGCTTCTCTGATTCAAAGCCCTCGACGTGGCAATTCAATTAGGACATTCAAACCTAAAAGGTCATTGGTCCATTAGAGGTTGAGCTGTGCCAAAAAACACCAGTAAAAACAGCCCAGAGGGCATCTGTGTGCTTGTACAAAGGCCAAAAAGACACATGGGAAAACACACTCAGCCTGCTATTCATCAAATTATTGCAATTACTCCAACCTGACTGTTTGGTAGCTTTAAAATAGTTTTTCTCTCTTTCTTTATACTATAATGCTTTTTATTATTGGCTAAGCTCTTTACTTCTTTTAAAGTTCTTGTTTTTTTCTTCTTTACCACAGCTGTTCTGGTTTATCGGGTGTTTAGAAATGAGAGTAAGCGTTCAGTGAAAATTCTCCACGCTTTGCTGCATATGATGGCGCTCGTCATCAGTATTGTGGGTAAGTCCTGCTATTACAAGACAGCAGTAACATACTATGCTACATGCTAGATGTTTCTTGATTGACAGATTTTAGCTGTGGTCACAGCCGTTTCCCATGTCTAATTTGTCATTTGAACCATTGAATAAGGGGAAAACTAAGATTTCACTTATACAAACAGATGTTTTCTATTCATCGCAAGGCACAGGCTTAATTTTTATTTGATTTATTTGATCGATATTGTCTAGTACTAGAAATTTAGACCTGCCAAATGCAGTTTAATTACATTTCTTGATCACACTTTACAATAAGGGTCATTAGTTAATGTTAATTAATGCATTTACTAAGATGAACAAACAATGAACAATACATTTACTACTGTATTTGTTCATGTTAGTCAATGTTAGTTAATGAAAATACAGTAGTTCATTGTTAGTTCATGTTAACTCATGGTGCATTAACTAATGTTAACAAGCATGACCTTGAATGTTAATAATGCATTAGTAAATGTTCAATAATGATTAATAAATGCTGTACAAGTGATGTTCATGATTAGTACATGTTAGCAAATGCATTAACTAATGAACCTTATTGTAAAGTGTTACCCATTTCTTGTGTAAAATAATGATTGCAAATAAAAGCCATTATTTTAAACTTTACTTAAACTAAAAGAACATTTTGCATAACTGTATAAATCATTATTAGTGATTTTGTACTAATAATACCTGATCTTAATTAAACCGCAAATCATCGTATTATAGATTTAGGAAGTATTATGTGACTGGAATGAAGACTGGAGACGAGTATACTGTTGGGAAGTCTGGGAAGGACCTAAATGCAAAGAAACCCCAGAGCCAACTGAAACCAACTAGACGCTGAGAATGAAACATATAGGCACGCTGCAGACAGAACAAACACAAACCCCAGGACAAGAGCAAGTATCCTGAGCACGCCCAGACCTCGGCGCCCACTTCAAGCGGGAGCACATACAGCCCGAGCACAGCCAAGACGGTGCTCATACAATGACAAAGACTGACAATGATGCGAAAAATAAGAGCTTGAAGAGCTTTTTTAATCAAACAAAATGTAGCCTTTTTTAACAGAATTGGCTTCTTTTAAATCATTAACCGATACTGTTTCCAAATTATTCAGTTGTAATAATATTAAATGTAATCATCATTTTCTAAAATATATAATCAATATCACACTCGTGGCAGTTTGATGTGGCTGTATATCGGCACTGGTGGGCAGCGTGCGGCCGAGTGCCTTAGTGTCCCTTCAAAGTGCTTATATACAGCCATATTGCACTGCTACCCTTGGTGATATTGCAATTATACAACAGTTCAACGGAATAATTGTGTGTATAAAAAAGAAAATCAAACATGGAGTGTCCAAAATACTTTTGTAAGAGGAACTACTTTCTTCCGCTATTCACATCTGCTGCTGACGTCCCGGGAGTCTCCTGTATTTCAGACCCATCTCCCATTTTGGTATATCCATCACCCCCACCGATGATCTGTGCCAACATTAAGTGTGACAAACGTGCAAAAAAAAAAAAAAGTAAGAAATCAGTAAGGGGGCAAACACTTTTTCTCATTACTATATGTACTTTATATATTGTTTTTAGTTGTGTGTGCAAATGTGTACACAGTTCATCATTGTGTCATTTGTGATGCTTTATTGTAGTTTGAGATTGTAGTTTCCCTTATTAACAGTTACAGTAAGCACACAGTATTGAACCTACTTCTCTTTGTCTGATTTTTCTGTACTACTTTGCTTTAACTCAAAAACTTGCAATAAAAAGTCAAATTTCCTATTGAATGAAATTGAATGTGAAAAATACTTCTAGAAAGGCTGTAGTCTATAGCATTGTGATATTTTTAAATCTCCCTCTGTCTCTCTGTAGGTCTAGTTGCTGTCTTTGACTTCCATTCGTCATCTAAGATCTCCCACATGTATTCTCTGCACAGCTGGTGTGGCATGCTCACTTTTGTGCTCTTTTTCCTGCAGGTAATTTGCACTTGTTTTTAATCTGATCATGCATTTGCATTTAAACGTCTTCCTTATTTGAAAAACTGAATCGTGGTTGTTCTGCAAGAAAAAAAAAAAAGCTTGCGGGTTCCCTTTTCTCTGCCTTAGCAAACCCTCTGGTGGACAATTACATACATTACACTGCTAACATTACTGCTCACATACAGTAAGAACACCCCCATTGGTGTTTGCAGTAGGTTTTATTGATGTTTAAAAAAAGCAGCCCTAAAGGGATAGTTCACCCAAGAAGAAAATAAATCTGAGTTTCGTTCTCCCTGTTGAACACGATGAGATATATAATGATGAATGTTTGAATGCAGCAGCCATTGACTTTAATAGTATTTTTTTCTTGTTTATACTATAAGTTGTTGTTGGCTGCTTTTCTCCAACATTCTTCAGAATATCTATAAGTTCCTAAAGGTTTAAACCACACAAGCAAATGGTGAAGCTGTTAATGTTTTAACAGAACAGTCTCTTTAAACTTGACTTATAAAGTGCACTTTATATTCTACATACAGCTAGAAACTAAACTGAACATGTATTATGATAATTAAGCAGATATTAGTAAAAACTATTTTACATTTCATTAAATATGTATACAGATATACACATAGATAGTGCTCATATATGGTGCTCAGCATATACATCCCTCACAAATCTATCTTTTAATTTTATATTTTGAATAGGAAACTGTACAATCATATTTATGCATATACATTAGATTAGTCAGAGAATTCAAATCTGGAGCTTCTTTAACAAAATAACTTACAATAACGGTCCAAAACCTAGTACACCCACATTTATTTTGTAGAAAAATATTAAATAAAAATTAAAATAGATGAAAAATCAAGTAGCAAAAAAAATTGTGAAAGATTTGTAGAAATTTTGTCCATTTGTAATTTAAAAAATAAAGTAAATAAATTATAATTGCAAAAAATAATTATTAGCTACAAAATTTCAACTAAATTTATTATATTTTTTGCTTCTCCTGATTTTTCCTCTTTTTAAAATTCGTATTTAATATTTTCCCTCCTAACATGTAAATTCAGGCTACTAACCTTTGGACTGTTAACGTAAGTTTTTTTTAGTTCAGTACTGATTAATCTCATGTATATGCGCAAATATAATATTCAATTCAATTTCAGCTTTATTTGTATAGCGCTTTTACAATGTAGATTGTGTCAAAGCAGCTTCACATAAATGGTCATAGTAACTGGAACAGTGCTATTATATTGCTAACAGTGCTATAATATTGCTAAGCTTTATTTATTTTCCAGACAGTCAATTTATAAGACCTGAAATTCTGGAGTCTGGAGTCAATTATTCCACTTATAAAATGGTTAACACGTTGTTTAGCATTTTAGATCTTTGAGAAGATCTCCTATTATGACGTTCAATACAGTGAAAATGACGTTTCATACAGTGTGCAACACAGCTTTAAGTGAATGAAAACATCCAGCTAAGGGTTAAATCTGAAAGTGCACTGTCTTTAATAAATAAATAAATAGATAAAAGAATCGATTCTGAGTCGCTTAAATTATTCATTGTTCGTCCAGATCATTTGCCTGTTCGTATCGATGGTGACGTGAATAAATACTAAATATGAAATATCGGATTGGGTAAAACGTGAACGCGCCTTTCCCTTCAAACAGAGTGAGAGTAGATGAGTGAACATTAATAAGTGAACGTTCTGGTGAATAATGCTATAATCCACCCTGGAACAGGGGGTTCATTGGCTGTTTGTTAAAGGAGGGATCAGAAAAGACTATTGATGTATGGGACTTTGTCAGAGCTTGACAGGAACTTTATCAGCACACAGTTCATGGATCAGTTTCTTCCTCCATTTCACAAGTGCAAGTAAGTGTAATTAAAATGGCTGCCTCCTTGTTTTCTCTAGCTTGTAAAATATGTATTTAATTGACAGCCACTGTCAGCTGTTCCTACACACATGCGGTGGTCAAGTTTCAAAATAGTTTAGCTTTTACCACTGTGTGGATTAATATTGAATGCGTGTCATTGTTTTTACGTATGGTTAAGAATAAAGCAATGCTGGTGTTTAACTGCCATACTTTAATGCACTCCTGCATTCGGCTCACAAATATACTCAGCACTCTGGCTACTTTAACAATGTTGATAACCATGATGGGCGTTTCTTTCTGTCTCATGCTGAACGCAGTCGACCAATCGCAACAGACTGGGTCATTGGCCCAATCAGCGCAGATTAGCAGTGTGCTAAGGAGGGGTTTGGGAACAAAAGAATCACTGAACAAATCATGTGGGAGTCAATGGGATAATTATGTTAAAATAAATGCATATTAGAAGACAATGAAAGTGTTTTTCAACATTGAAGGTTGTTGGAGACCCTCAAAACCAAAATATGACCTTTTATAATTCATAATAAGGGCTCTTTAATCCCTGTAGTAAAATATATTTTATCACGATCAGTCAGTAGAATGGATCACCTCAGTGGGTTTTGGATTGACTAGTTCTTCTCTGTTTCCTCCAGTGGTTACTGGGACTGGGATTTTTCCTTTTCCCGTGGGCGTCCGCTCAGTTGAAGAGCTGGTATCTTCCCCTGCATGTCTTCTTCGGCCTGCTGCTTCTGGTCATGTCTGTGGGCTCGTGTCTGCTGGGAATCACAGAGAAACTGCTCTTCAATATCATGTGAGTGTCAGTTAATGCATCTGACGGATATATCTTTAACAAAAGCAACTGACGCCACTCTAGGCTGAGGTACAAACACTGAATGGGAGGAAAGAAATGAGTCACACCGAATGAGTCACAGTGGAATGAGACTTCATATGAATATAAATGATATTTGCCTTATTTTGTCCATCTCTCTCCATAGATAATCAAATGCTGCTTTTGTTTAAAGGGCGCCTATCATGCACAGATCACTTTTATAAGGGGTGTATTGGTCTGTGAATATAACTAGCATCTAGTGGTAAACATGGATTGATTTAATGTTTTATAAACACACTTCATAAAATACTTTGATTAACATTCTCCCTTTGTATAGCTCATCAGAGGAGAAACGCGTCACACAAAAGTGGCGATCTCCCCCTTATTAGTATAAGATGTTAAGCCATGGTCACACTAGAGCAGAGATGCCCAAAGCTTTTTCTTATGAAGGGCCAAAAACCAAAACTGATTGAGCGCTGTGGGCCGAAGTATACTAAACTGTATTACACCAAAGTTTCCATGAGTATTTTCTGAATTCATTTCCTAATTTTATAACTAATGCAGTATATTTGAAAAAAGTATAATGAATTTATTACAGTAAAACATGAAAAGTGCCATTAAAGGGTCATGAAACCCCCTCTTTTGGTTCAAGTCTACCTCAGAATTTTTTCAAAAAATGCTTCATGATGGGCGTGGATGGGAAAGATGGGGAAAAAGAGGAGAGTTAACAACTGTTGTCAGTTAACTTACAAAATAATACACAAACCCTGAGGAGAGGCATGATTTTATAGTTTACAAAGTTAAAATTCAAATAAATAAACAGTAATTTAATGCCCTGCTACATTGGTTATTCGTAGTTTTATATACACATAACCCCCTTTTGTTATATCCGTATAAAGATAACCACATAAACACTACAAATGAGGAGGACATCTGCTCCTGAATCCCTGGATCTTAATGCAGACACAGTGAATAGCAGTGCAGCAGGTCTCTTGTCCTGTCTATTCCAACTATTAGCCCTGCCGGTAATCTGGAGGATTTTAAACATAGGTGAACACAGCAGTATGGATATAGGCGATGTGTCTGAATGGTAACAAACTTAACTGATAAAAGACAAAGTCCAAAAATGCTTGTTGAACACAAACAGCTTTGCTGTATCAGCCCTGACAGCATCGCAGAGAAACACATGCAACAAACCCCTGTGAATCATGGAAACAAACACATAACGTTACAACCCTTCATAAATGGCTAAATACCGCTTGCTGTACGTGAACGCAGTTTCACGCAGACATTGGGTCTCACAGCTTGGCAGGTCTGCCTTGATTCGTGCTTGCACGTGCTCTCATGAGTAATTAAGAAGCAGGGTCTTCTTATAGGATAAGAAAACTCCGCTATAAATAATAATGAGAAACCAATACATCATCACTCCACTAGCAGATTCACGCTACTTCACTGGTTTTGATCCCACCCCAAAAATTAGTTTAAACCCGGAAGATAAAATTAGCTGACAAAAGCTCAAAATTATATAGTTTTTCTCACAATTTAAGCTAACAGGTGCTAACATTGTCTTAACTGATGCTCAACACACACACACACACGTATTAAATGAATACACTAAGCTGCACCAGCCGTTGCCTTGATTTGCTCGCCGATGTCTTGTGCATTGCACTTATTCTTGCCCTGGCCCTTATCTTATATACAGATTTATTTACAAAACAAACAAAAAATTACATTAAATTTTAAACGACTATCTTTGTCAAAGATTTTCACTTCATTGACCTCTCCATCATTCTCCCTCTCTTTTAAAATGGGATGGTGGGCTTACTCTGGCCTACATACCCTAGTTTGGGCGTCTCTGCTCTAGAGTTTGAGCTTGTGAAATTCTGTCAGTGCTGTGAAAAGGGGTTGGATTAAACAATATGATTAGACATTAAAAAATGAGAAATTGCTCCATACTTACATAATTGCTGTACAGAAAGGTCATGTTTTGATCATCTATTTTTCTCACGCTATCACGTGATGTGATTTCGCAGGTCAGAGTTCACCAAGCTTGAACTGTGCAACACAGCAAAATGCTAAACTTTTCGAACAAGCTTACATTTCCGGTCTGCAGCATTTGCATGCGTATACAAGTGGGAGCAAGCGGAAGTATACAAGGCGGGAGTAGACCACGGCTTGTTTTTGAATCTACCACTATGCCGTCACACAGGGATGGACAAAAATACATTGAAATGTATTTTAAATTAAAATACCAAATACCTTAATTTTACATGTATCAAAATAATCTACAAAATACAGCAGCCACAACAAGTATCAAAATGAAATACTGTATTTTGTATGCTAGCAGGCATATTCAATCAATCCCTTCACTGTTAAACTGACTTAGTGAAGTAAACAATGCTTGATAGTAACAGCTTATTTTCTGAGCAAGTATAAGTCAGCCACTGTAGGACTTGTTTATGTTGTTGGTCTTATTTTCTTGGCATCTACATCACCAATTCATCCAAAAATACTATTATTTGTGCAGTTTAAGCATTCTCCTAAGATGACATCATCATGTAGACTTCCTACAAAGTATTTTAAAAATACAAAAATACAAGACACTAAAGTATTGACACAAAACTTATAAAAAAAAAAAGTTAAAATTAAAAAGTTATTTTCATAAACCAATGTATTTCAATATATTTTAAATACTTGTAAGATAAATACTGCTTATCCCTGATGAAAAATAGGCATTTGTGGCTCCACCCTCTTCTCAAAAGAGCACGATCTCATTTGAATTTAAAGTGACAGTCACCAAAATGGCAAAATTAGGATCAAAACCTAAAAGGGGGAGATTTAATGAGCCATAAACTATTGTTTGTGATGTCTTTTGAGCTGTAGATTTCATTCACACACACAGACAGCAACAAACAAGCTAAATTCACAGACATGCATACTGTACGTGTGCTCGCTTGGGAGTGTTAGCTCCCATCCAAAATTACACCAGTTACCGACCGCTTCTGCGCTTTATTCTGAAATTTATTCCCGCGCCGCAAGAAATCTGGTCGGGTCTGCAGACCTATATTTTGAGCTGAAACTTCCCATACACACTCTAGGGACTTCATTTACATCTTGTAAAAAAAGGGGCATAATAGGTTCCCTTTAAGCCTGGGGTCTCAAACTGGATTTCTAGAGGGCCGCAGCTCTGCACAGTTTTGTTCCAACCCTAATCAAACACAGCTGATGCAAATAATCTAGGTGTTTAAGACTACTAGAGACTATTAAGCGGTTGTGAATTGAAGATGCTTGGAGCTAAATTACGCAAAGCTGCGGCCCTCCAGGAATTGAGTTTGAGACCATTGCTTTAAGATATTATTCAGTTTGTTCCCATTACTGCATAAATCATAAACGGTTTATAAAAATGGATTAAATATATTGAACATATGATTAATAACACTTCATTAATACACTTTACACATAAATGGGTGGCTCCCAAAAACAAATCCATAATAGGAATCTGAATAATAAAATCAGAAAGGTTTTCTATTTATTAAACGATGATAATCTTATCTTCAGGTCAACTTACTCAACGTTTGCTCCTGAGGGCATCCTGGCCAATGTTTTAGGCTTGTTGTTGGTGTGCTTTGGGGTGCTGGTGGGTTACGTGGTGACCAAAGAAGATTTCAGGCGACCACCGAATCCTGAAGAGGAGGCTTTGTCCGTCCATTTCAAGACCCTGTCAGAAGGAGAAATCCCCAGTTCTCCTTAAAGTCATAATGTGCTCCAGAAACAGCCCTTTCTGCTCTTTCTACCCATGTCTTATTAAACATTTAAGCCAGCTCCTCCATCTGTAGTCTTCTCTCGCCGCCATGTTCCACCATCCCAAAGGGTTAGTTCACCCAAAAATGAGCATTTACTCACTATTTACTCCTCAAACCTTTATGAGTTTAACAAATCTGTTCAATCCAAAAAAAGATACATGGAAAAATGTTGGAACTCTTTGACTTCCATAGTAGGAAAAACGAATGGTACAACATCAGTTTGAGAACTAAGGACATGCTGATTTAAGAAAGTGATGCAAAAGTGACTAAAAATGAAGTAAATGCTATATACAAAAAATTGATTACAGGGTAAAACTACTTCCACATCACTTGGTGAAAAACACTGAGTAGAACATTCCCACCTTGCAGTTTTGTGTCTAATAGATGTCAAAACATGAATGTCTTGGTTAAAGTAGTTTGCTACTAGAGAATGATGCTAACAAAATCAAAGCCCCGCCCCCTACTCAATATTCCATTTGATTTGGAGGAAAGTCAACACACTGAAAGAGAAGTCTCAGCAATTTCTGGTTCACACAGACTTTAAAACAAAAATGCTAGCTGGAATAAGTGATTACCTGGACCCAGTTTTTCAAAAGTAATCCAGAGGGATTTTGGATCATAAATTGGATCAAATCTTGCAAATGGGTTTTTCAAAAGTAACACAGGGAGTTTGAATTAGGATCAGACCATGTAATCTAATCTTACATTTGATTTAGATCAAACCTGCCCTTTTATTAAAAAAAAAAAAAAATCAGGTTATTCAAAACTTTGAACTCAGATTGCAATCTATTTAATATATAAAAAAACAGGATTATCCCGATCTCATCGGAAGTGTGGATTCAGTTGTGATATATTTTAACTAAATAAAATAAAAATACAAAGTTTTATGTTTTAAGTGAATGATCACAAACTTTATGCTTATTGATGATATGTAAATTTCCTCATATTTGAAACCTATATGAAGCATATCATGTCTAATGCTAAACAACAGCAACACAATAATATCAAAGCAGTATTATATTATAACATACTAAAAATGCTTGTTGATTGTCGCATTTCTGTTTCTTACCATTAAAACAAACAATGGCTGTTTGTGTCCACTGGTATTTTGCCAACCTGTTGTTCTTTGCCAAACCAGAAGGCTATATTGACGGTTCTATTTAAGGTTCTGGTAAACAGTATTTGTAATCTTGAAATTTGGTATTTGGATCACAGTGATCAAACCCGATGTTCCTTTTAAAAAACTGTCATAAATGCAAGACAGATCAGTTAATCCTGCATAGCAAAACATGGGATTTCCAAATCTGGACCAATTTAATCCAGATTAAATTTTGTTTGAAAAACTGGGCCCAAGATATCAGGGAGATTTCATCATATCTGCATTGAGATTGGTCAGATGACCAGTCAGTAAAACTCCCTGTGAAGAGTTGATTGTGCCAAACCATATTAATAGGTAAGTTCCCCCCAAATTGTAAATTCTACCATCATATACTAACCATCATGTCATTCCAGACCCATAAGAAATGACTTCTTCATTATTGAAACACAAACAAAAAAATGTGCATAAAGTTAAACAATAAAAAGATTCTTTGTGGTTTAATGGGCTTGGAATAACACGAGGGGGGAGTAAATGATGACAGAATATGACTTTGGAGTGAATAAACCCTCTAACTTGGAACTTCGAATATCAGGAAAGCTCTCTCGTGCCTTAGCCTTTGTTTCTACCAGAGTGACAAATCTGTATTTCATTTGGAGCCAACAAATGTTTCATTTTCAACTGTCTTTCATAGGCTTTAGACAGCATGTCTGTTTTAGATTACGGATGGTTTAACATTGAGATTTCTTTGCACAATGCTGTGCTCGTCTTACTGGTTCCTGTGTGCTAATTAATGTGTAAATACTGACTGCTTTGCACAGCATGTGTGAGAAAAAATAAGAATATATACAATAAATGATATAGTCTTTCCATCTAAATGAGTGTGTAAGTGTTGTATTTTTGATTGGTGTGCTTATATTTGTATGGGTATATTTTCTATTTGATATAAGATATCAGTAAATGTGTATTAATAATGCTTGCTTTATAGCATAACAGTGATTAAGCACCGAGTTTTTAACTCAAAATAAATGAACGAGAAATAAATCTGACTCGATGGGAAATTATTTCAATTTTCTTTGAAGTGTTATTCATTTTTTAAATAAGTTCATTATTTCCCTCATACATACAGATGATTGTACAGTTTACAATCGTGTAACTGGATTAAAAACTCATTCACGTTTTGGATTTTCCTTTCAGCAAAACATCACAGCTCACATTTACAGACAATTTACAGAGAATCCTCTTTTGCGAGCCCAGTTTTCACCTTAAATGAAATATAAAGCAAATGACATACAAAACCTAAACATCGTCTGTTCTTTTTTTGTCTAATGATGGAAACAAGGAAATATATTGTGCCCCAATCTCTTCCCTCATACATAAAACCACACACACTCAGGTTTGTGTATTAGCAGAGAGCATGCGTTCTAGTTAGGCACATTATTTACAGCCATGTACATTTTGGTCATACAAAAGGAAACAGATATTTAAATACAAACACTGTTGTACAGTAAGCGGTATTCCAGGTCAACTCTGAGTTTTTTTTTTCCAAAAGAGAGAAATAAACACTGCAAAAACACTCCTGACAGCAGTTGAACATTGATTATTAAAGCCAGATCCGGTTAGCAAATCTGACTCGCTGCCATCCTTCCAAAACATACATACAAAAAAGTGTCTGCCCCACCATTAGTATTTGAGTCCACACACGACACAGGCTTTGACATCATGTCAGGTCTCCCGTATTTGAAAGCAAGTACTCGCAGTTTAAAAATAAGCAGAGAAAACGTCTGAAGGCATATTTCAGTGCACAAATAAACTCTCAAAACATGATGAGTGAGAGCATGTGGATTCTGAGGCTGCAGAAATGAAAAGTTTCCCCCCTTAAGCCTTTTTCCCATGAGAAAGGTTTCTTTGGAAAAGACTATATCTGGTTTAGTGGTGTGACTACTTACAAACAAATAAATTAAATGGCTGACCACCCGAATGCTACTTCCTATGAGCAGAAATGAAATAATTAACCTATATTTGCATTGCGTAAAAGGTTGAACCCCCCTGTAACATGTTGACAACAAATAAAAATGCCCTTTAAAAAAGTCTAAAAATATTTCACATTGCTGAACGCAGGTTAAATGAGGAACTAAAGGCAAACTGAAAAACACAACTGCATTGAAATTTATATATGTATATATATATTTATATTTGTACAAACATAACTTAAAATGTTAAATATTACTTTTTTGCTTTAGCAATATTGATCTGGAATATTATAGGTACATTTTCGACACAGCATCATTCTCTTGGGGTATTACTAGTCTGAGTGGGGATGTGGGTAGAGGACATCTTGTCCACGTGCTCATGTGTCCCTGACTGGTATTGAGCAGCCACCCTCTCCGGAAGGTAAAGACAAGTAGAAGGTCGGTATACAGCAGTTACACAGGCCTACTTTTACTCCAATGGGTCTTCAAACCTCCAAAATCTGTTTAGAGTAAATATGCACTAGATTAGTACATGCTATATTCAGTGGAATTCACCTTGACATGTCCATTTTTTTCTATCGTAAAGTCCTGGGACATAAAATGAAGAGATAAGATGGTCAACATGTTAGATATTCCACAGGAGTGTTCTAATAAATCTTGCGATCTCATCCTGTACTCTTACACGTTCGACTCCACAAAGGGTCTCTTTGGTTTAATGGGTGAGGTCGGACCTTGCCTTTCACTTCGAGACATCTGCCTAAACTCATTGTCCTGGTAGGCCTGGGAAACTGGCAGAGTCCGTGCCATTTTCACATCTGGGTAAGTGGGAACCTGGCTAACTCGGCCCATAGCATCTGCCCGGTCCCGAGTGACACCAGGAGGGTTGGCATAGAAATCCTCATCCATGAGGTGTCCATTGTGAGCGTTGTTAGTGCGGTTGTAGTAAGCGATGTGGCTGAGGGGTGCAGTCTGCTGCCCATAGCCCACATTGCTAGGAGAGGTGGCTGGACTGTTCACCACAGTATCCAGAGAGGAAACGGTCCAGGGTCGAGAACTCGAAGACGAAGATACAAGTGATGGCTGCTGCGGAAGGTACTGGCGAGTCCGTGCTGTCTTGTCAATGATGCCCATAAATGGCGTGTTTCGGGAGCGGAGAGCCTCTCCTGGATATGTTCCACCCACCACCCGGAAGTCTGTGCCTTGAGGAGGTGACACTGGCGAGAGGTCATCATGGTAGCCACTTTCATAAGAAAGCTTTAGAGGGATCTCCATTTGCTGTGCTGAAGTTGACGCCCTGAATCCCGGGCCAAGGTTAGCGGCAGAAGCCGGCCCCAAACTGTTGGTGGATGGAGAGAATCGTAGACCTGTACTGTGAGAATGAATGAGGGGCCGGGGACCTGGTGGATGCTGTTTAGGTTCTGCGCTATTAGCACTGACTGGACGTCGGTGGGCGTGAAGGTTCTCTGGTGAACCCAGTGTCACCTGTCGCTCCATTTCATGAGGCGGGACTGGATAGTAGGCAGTGGATTGACTGCGGCTGATCTGTGGAGTCTGACCATAGCGGACACCTCCGGGAGTGGGCCTGTAAGCAGAGGAGGGCCTCTGTGGAAGCTCATCCTCCATTAGGCCAGGATCCATACTGATGGCACGCTGGTACAAGGCCCCTGCACTCAGGCTGCCCTGAGGTTGAAGTGACGAAGAGTATCCTCCATCCCCAAGTTCATCCATGTCTCCCGGGCAACGGGCGCTCATCGAGTGAGCTATCTGACTATAAGCGCTGCTACCCAGTACGGCACTAGAGTGTACCGCGGTGCTAGGCTGGTTGGTGCGGACGATCTGTGCCTTGGCTGGCTGCAACCACTGGCTCTGTTGTGCAGGCTGGGAAGGCTGTTGGGAAAACTGGAAAGAACGCTGGCTGCTCATCTTGGACAGAGGGGATTTGGGTCGTCCTGCAAGCGGATCCTGCTGGTAGCGTCCTGCCGAGGCAGACTGGGGACGGTACATAGCGGCTGCTTCAGATGTGGGGCTGGAGCGATACTGTGGTCCACGGCGTAGTGGAGATGGAGGTGGACTGAAGTGGTAAGAAGCCTGATGAGGAGGACTGGGCCGGAAATGGGAGCTCTGGTGTGTTGGCGAGAGCGATGGGGAGGTGGATTGGTAGCCTTGGCGTGTAGGAGAAGACATTGAAGGGGGACTGGGCCGAAGGTCATATGTTTGGCCCAAGTATGGCGACTCATGATGGCTTGGAGATGGAGGCATGTTCTGAATGACTGGAAGTCCTGAGGGAATAATATGGGTCTCAGCAGCAACACCTAGCGGTAGGCCATCCAAATCCCGCTCAAGGTAATCATCATCCTCTTCGAACAAGTCCTGGACAGGCTCCATGTCTGAAATATGGGGCTCCATAGGTGGAGGCGGGACCATGGATGGGGCTTGCTCGCGGGGAGGGGAAGGAGGGGGATCCAGCTCCTGTTGTTGTTCAACCTGACGACACTCTTCCTCCACACGTTGCAGCAGGCGCTGGATCTCGCGGTTATTGGGACACAGACGAACAGCTTCACTCAGGTCCTCCAGGGCTGCGTGGAATTGCCTACAATGAGGGAGACAGATTGAAGAGAGCAGGAAGGTGGAAAATGGCAGCAGGAAGAGAAAAAGAAAGAAATATTCTTGTTAACCAATGTTGTGATTAGAAAAGACTGAACATTTATTACTAATGAAACATTCTGGATCTAGTTTAAGTTAAAGGGGTCATGGCATGATAAATCAAATTTGCTCTGATTTTTTGACATACCTGTATTAGAGGTGCATACAGTTTCTGGCTTACTCTAAATCAGGGGTCACCAACCCTGTTCCTGGAGACCACCCTTACTGGAGTATTTAGCTCTAACCCTGATCAAACACACATGAAACCAATTAATTAGGACTTGAAGCAGCACGTGATAATTACAGACAGGTGTGTTTGGCCAGGTTTGCAACTGAAATCTGCAGGAAGGTGGATCCCCAGGAACAGGGTTGGTGACTCCTGCAGACAAACAGCAAAAACTGAAGAGTCAGAGTCAGTTCATTATCAATTGTTATCAAATTATAAATGCTCAAATTACTGTAATTAAATAGTTTTTTTTTAAGGAATTGTAAGTTTACTCAGTAGTTTTAAACATGTAATTTTACTTTCCCTTGAGAACATATTTAGTGCAGTAGTGATACTTTTACTCCACTATTTTCCTTCAACCTGCAGTCACTTTTTTCCTGTCTCTGGGCATTGGCTAAAGTAGATGAATCAGTCTTGTGATTCTTGTCCAATTAAATCACACATAGAAAGTGAATCGCGTCATACTGAACAACCGCAAAACACTGGCTCCTCATAAATCCAACAAACCATTTGGAAGCATTAAAAGTGTGCAAGAAGATGTCTAAAATCCTTATACGCACTGATTGAGAGTCTTTATAGACTGCATGTCACTAATGAGAAGATGGATGTTTACTCTATGAGGACTGAAATCACCAAATGCCCTTAAACAAATGCTAATGCACTACAGAATGTTACGTTTACACATGTATGCACAAATTGCATGTAAACGCATAAATTGTTCACATCTTAATACTCAAACCTTATTACCCTTGAGTACTTTTAAACAGGCTACTTTTTACTCCTATTTTGAGTAATATTTGCAACAGATACTTTTATTCTAGCTGCACTAAATTTTTGGGTAAGTAATGGGTAAGTCTAATCGTCAAGAGTACTTTCACTGTAAAGTGTCTGATTTGAAGGGAACTTTTGTGTCTCTGTACAGCAGGGCCGGAGTGGGACTCTTTTTCAGCCCTGGAGTTTCAAGCCTTAAACCGGCCCACCTCAGTTCACGACTGATTATATTAAAATAAGGTCATTTCCAATTCAGTTTCTAATTACACTATCACGTCTTTTTTTTTTTTTTTTTTTTTTGAGAAAACAGCTGCTTTAGAACTTTAAATGTTCAAAAACCCTAACAGTATTATATGTCTTAACAATAAAACTATAATTAAAACCACAACAGTTGTATATGGAGGGTTGACTCATCTGAGTAATATGATCATTAACCTGAAGGCTGGTTATATATAAAAAGAGCAGAGCTGCGGTAAAATAATGAATAAGAAGACTGTAGTCAAGTAAGTAAATAAATTAATTTAAAAAGTGTGACTGCTGAGAGCAACAGATTCTGGAGCTAGGGAAACCGGCCCTTGCGGCCAAAAAACGGACCGGCCCACCGGGAATTCTCCCGGTCCTCCCGATTAGCCAATCCGGGCCTGCTGTACAGGATCCCAGTGTTACAAACAAATGAATACTTCATTTTTGACGGCATCCTAGATTATGTAAGAGGATAAAATTTTTATTTATTTTTATTTTTTTTGTAGTTTGTCTTGGGTCATAGTGTAATGAAGAAATTATGAAAATACATTTTGTTGAAAAAAGAAGCAGTAAGCTGTACTGAACCTGATATACAGCATTCAAAAACATTCTTTAACATTATGAGTGAGCATGTTGGAATAATTGAAGCAATAACAATATCCATGTCATGACCCCTTTTAACTTGGCTATCAGCAGCATCTGCAGCAGCCTGCTGTCAATTACAATTCAGAATGATTACAAGAATTTTTTTCTTCATTTTTTTGGTAAGATTAAGCACCTTTTGCAAGGAAAGTCAGTAAAACCTGGCAAATTCCATACATTATTCAAGAGTTCACACTTAGCTGATGATTGATTATAAAGCTTGTTTGGCATGCTGTCCTGGGAGAGAGCCCTGAGCTCATAATATCCTCGAGCCCGGGGCTCCCTCCCGTTTGCAAGGCGAGAGAGGAGTTTGAGCTCAGGTAGATCTCAAGAACTCCCCTGCTTTAGTAGCTAATGAAGAGATAGTGATTGCTTGTAAGAGATAACTACTTACTAGGTGCACGTCTATGGAGCCAATTTGGATTAGTTAATTAACTTGTTGCATGTTTTTGGATGGTGGGAGGAAACCGTGGAACCCAGTGGAAACCCACGTCAGCACGGGGAGAACATGTAGACTCCGCAGAGACATGCGGCTGGCTTGGAAAGGACTAGAACCAGTGATGTTTTTGCTGTGAGGCAATAGTGCTTACTACTGGGCCTCCGTGTCAGCCATTTAGAAAAGGAGGAGGAGTAGGGGTGGAAGGGGGGATTCTTCAAAATGAAGAAGGCTGTTATATGGAACTTAGTGTGTTTATAGTGGCTTAGGAATCGTCTGATTGGTGAATCATAAATTGGATAATGCGGGACCAGCCACAAGCAATCATAAGCATGTGATCGAACGAAATTAGTTTATAAATAAACTTCACTTCAACACCAAAGGATTTAGTTAAAAAAGTACAGTTGAAGTTAATGTGCGTAAACATTGAATGACTCAAATGAACAAACAATCAAGCTTCAGTTAGTTTTGTTTGGGACGTTCATTGGACAGACGTTCATTGTAATTGGCAAGCTTAACTTTTCTAAAACAAAGCAAGTTGATCAACGTGTTCTTGGCACAAAGACTCTAAATGACATAGTGGGGAGAGGAAAAGTAATAAAATATGAATGATGGAGAGATTCTGAGGAAAAATAATCTGATTGGTCAACACAACATGAAGTATGAAGAACAGGTCTTGAATGTTGACATCTAATGATACAGAAGTCAAAAGGTTTAAGCTGACTTCTGTCTTGAAGCTCTAATGTAATGCTAGGTCAACCAATAGAAGCGGATTCAGCCAGTTGTGCTCGCACTTTATCTGTGCTAGAGACAGAATGTGTTTTAAAAGCTGTTCTGCCTGTTTGTTGCTACAGTTTACCTGCTGCTGCGCTTGGCACGGGCTCGTGCGTAATAGGCTTCATAGGATTTGGGTTTCAACTCTAGTGCCTTGGAGGCAAACTCCTCCGCCATCCCAAAGTCCTGCAAGCAACAACAGGACCAACAGTCATACACTGAGCCGTACATGATGTCAGAGGGAACACACGCATACATGAGCATGCACACAAACACTGATACACATACTGTAGACTCTTACATCATTCACACACATCACACGCTCATGTCGAACACATTTATATGAGGATGTGACACTGATCAGTACAAAAAGAAACAAACATCAACATATTTTGTTCAAATATGATAAACAGACATACGATTATGGAAATGCTTGTTTACATGTATAAAGTGGTCAGACGCACATGGAGATATATGCTGTACAGGGACAGTGGAAAGATGCAATGTGACAGCTCAAACCTCTTCCTGTACTAAACCTAGCACCTTTAACCAATCCAGCAAATGTCAGAAAACCTCATGATGAGCCAACAAATCCAACTGAAACAGGGATGAGCGTATGATGGGAGGAAAAACTGCAGCATGTGTGTAGAAAACTTTCCAGAGGGCTGCTCCATCTACAGGATGGAGGTTTGAAAATCCAAACTCAAGTAGGAGATGAGGTCAAAATGAGAAATAATGTAGCCATAAAAGATAAAAAACAATGGAAAGATCAAAATATCCCTTGATGCATGAATGTACTTGCTCTTCAACTGCTTTGGTCTTATAGGGATGGCTTACTTTAGTCATGTCATCCATACATATGCAGCCAACCCTGAAATTATTCCTACCAATGGCAAAATTTAACTTAAAGTTACTTTTATTCAAGCAGCAAGTTGTTTCAGAGTGAAAATAATAACTTTAAAGCAGAATTTGCCAGTGGTATGAATCATTTTGGGCTTGACTGTACAAATTCTTCAGTAGGATATTAAAGATTTGTAGCTTAAACCATGGTCCATGATGATTCCTAAAATGCATGTAACAGCAGTTCGACAGTCTGAAAATGTATACAGGCAAAACATGAGCTGCATCTGAAATTGCATAGTACACTAGTGTATCTGCACATATCAATTTCCATTTACTTCATAGATCAACAGAAAATTGAACAGAGTAATAGAAAAGAATATTCAATATAGTGTGAATGTGAGAAGTATGAAAAGAATTCTGATGTTCTAAATCCGCCATTTGTCATTATTACATGACCTACCTGCGTCACTTCACTAGCATTCATCAATTTTCTTGTTTGGTATCATGGGATAGTAAATGTCTATTTGATGCACACTTCAGAATCGAACTGGAAATAGGTCTTTTTTTTTCGAATACTGTGAATTCAGAAATACAACCTGACTCATTACTGTGTTTAACATATTATACAGTAGGGAATTATGTGATTTTGGATGCACCTGAAATAACACCCATGATTCCCGATGATATTTTTAGCTCTTATTAAGTGAAATTTACATTTACATTTAGTCATTTAGCAGACGCTTTTATCCAAAGCGACTTACAAATGAGGACAAGGAAGCAACTTACACAACTATAAGAGCAACAATGAATAAGTGCTATAGGCAAGTTTCAGGTCTGTAAAGTCTAAGAAGGAAAGATTGAAATGATTAGATTGCGCAAGATAACCTCATAAGATATTCCTCAGTGATTGTTCTGGTATACACTCACTCACTGAATCAGCAAGGACCACGGTTTGAGCAGAAATCTCCATTAATTTAATTAACGGTATAAAAAAAGATAAAGTCACCATGTTTGTTATGGACAGTGTAATTAAATGTTCAGCAATTGTTTATTAGTGAGTAAACTAACTTTTTAAATGTGTTTTAAATTAAATTAAGAACACACAATAAATACAGAATAAGTGAGTGCAGTTTTTTGGGGTAGTTGCATCGGTGCTTGTAAACAGATTTACAGTACTGAACTGCTTAAGGTTAGCAGATATAGATTGGTGACATCTTAATGTTTGAAAAAGGAATATATTTTTTATTATTTTTGTCTCTTTTTCTTTTTATTAAACAATTGTATTTGTATTGCTTAATGGTGATATATTAACTAAACTGCTTCTCTTGAGTGTGATATGCCTTGCATACTAAAGAAGCATTTTTACAGAAGTAGATGAAGCTGATAGAAATGCAAAGGCCTGATTGTCTAAAATTCACTTGAGCTCTGCAGCTAAACATCCTGTGAGCAGAAATGGGCTGAAACTGAACACAGAATATGTGCAGTTGAGAGGTCTTATGCTTTTAATATTGTGCAGATAATTTGTAGAAAAAGAGGATGCATGTATGGGTGCGGAGTGACAGATTCCACTAAACTCCACCTGTTAATATCAGCGGTGTATAAATTCTTGAGTCAGGAAATAAAAATAGTTGCCCACCTCCTGAATGTAACTATTGCATTGCATTAAGGATACCAGAATTCTCTGAATCTTATTATTTATTTGTATCCAATAAATTACTAATATTTTTGACATTGAAGGAAACCCTCTCCAGACCTTTTTTAATGAACCCGCATGGAATTGATTAGATATTCCAACATAAGGGTAGATAACATTTAATTTAATGTGTAAAGTCCAGCTTGGGTATAAATGTGTTTAAATGTGTATAAATATCCTGTACTGTAAAAAAATGCTGGGTTTCACAAAATTACATCATGTTGTCGCAACACAAATCAATAAAGTTAACTTAGTTTTTATAAATGTAAGTGGTTTGAACATAAAACAATAAAGTTGTCAAATAAACACAAAAGAATTGTGTTGTTTCAACTGAATTTCAGTAAGTAGTTTGAACGAGCAGCAAATATGATTTTTGAGTGCGTTTACCATGAATGAGATATACCGTAATTACTGCCTCACATTAAATATTCTATGCTAACAAATTATTAAATGGACAATATTCAAAAAGACATTTGAAAAATGAACATTGAATTGAACATTTTAATGTTCTTAAATTATCAATGGAGGCAGGGATAAATTGCCTTATACCATATTCTCAGATACCAAGTAGATAAAAACAAACATCCGCCTACAGTAAAAACTAAAATCTAATGCCAGGAATGACTAAAAGTGCTCAAATTTGAATAATGTTGTTAATCTTAGTGCTTGTTTGTAATGTCACTGTAAGGGAAGATAGACAGGAGGAGGAGAGTTTTAAATAACAGTGCGCTATAGACTCACGTTCATTTTCCTCCGGCAGCGGGACAGGTTGAGCAGCAGGGACACTTTGAGCTCACGGAAGGTCTTCAGATCCTCGGTGAAACCTTCTCGAGGAAACTTCTTCAGGGCGTACTGGTACCTCTGAGCAGCTTCTTTCACCTTTCCTTTCTGTGTCAGCAACACAATTTTACCTTTCAATCGATTTGTACAATATGTGAAGCACTGATGATTTTATGTCAAAAATACATTGCATGGGTCAAAAATATAAAGATTTTTCTTTCATGCCAATTAAACATTAATTAACAGTTGGATGTGACAAAACTTTCTTCAGTAAAATAAAAATAAAACTAAAGTCATTGCATTTTTGAACAACAATGGGGTTCTCAAGGTGAATGCGTACCTTAGCTTTAAGGGTCAAACAACAACAAAAATAAGGTCAAGAATCTTGGTGTTATTCTGCAGTCAGATCTGAGTTTCAGTAGTCATGTCAAAGCAGTAACTAAATTAGCATACTATCATCTCAAAAACATTGCAAGAATTAGACGCTTTGTTTCCAGTGAGGACTTAAAGAAACTTGTTCATGGTTCTATCAGCAGCAGGGTAGATTACTGTAATGGACTCCTCACTGGCCTTCCTAAAAAGACAGTCAGGCAGCTCATCCAGAACACTGCTACCAGGATTCTGACCAGAAGCAGAAAATCAGAGCACATCACACCTGTCCTCAAGTCTTTACACTGGCTGCCAGTTACATTCAGAATAGATTTTAAAGTATTATTACTAGTCTATAAGTCCCTAAATGGCCTAGGACCTCAATACATTACAGATATGCTCACTGAATACAAACATAACAGCTCACTAAGATCTTTAAGATCATATAAACTAGAAATTCCAAGAGATCAGTCAAAGCAGGGTAAATCTGTCTTCAGCTACTACACCATCTGCTGCTGGAATCAGCTTCCAGAGATGATCAGATCTGCTCCACCATTAGGCACGTTCAAATCAAGACTGAAAACACATCTGTTTAGCTGTGCCTTTACTGAATGAGCACTGTGCTGCGTCCAACAGATCGCACTATTATGTCTTTCTTTTATTTTCATTCCTTTAAAACCCATTTAACACATTTTAATCTGTTATAATCATTTTTAAGTCTTTCAATCATTTTTATTTTCTTGTTTCTTATATTCTTGTTTGTGTAAAGCACTTTGAATTACCATTGTGTATGAAATGTGCTATATAAATAAACTTGCCTTGCCCAAAACCATTATAATATTATGTAAACATAATATTCCATGAAGTAGTTTAATATTTCCTTTTGTAAACATATTATAGCTCATTTTTATTATTATCCTGCATTGCTAAGCACTTCATATAGACAACTTTCAATACAATTTTCTCAGTATTTAGATTTTTTGAACACTCAAAATTCCAGATTTTCAATAATTGTATCACAGCCAAATTTTGTCCTATCCTAACAAATCATACATCAATGGAGAGATTATTTATTCAACTTTAAGATGATTTACAAAGTTTATTTCCCAAAAATGGAAAATTAAGTACCCTCATGAATGTTTTTTCACATATGGTATGTTTAAAGGGGGATCTATTATGCAAGAATCACTTTTATAAGGGGTTGTGTGGCAACAGCGTGCAAATATAGCCACTCTCTAATAGTAAAAAACAATTAATTCAGTTTTTTTATAATCATACTCCCTAAAACAGGCTGCAGAAACAATTTAAATCACATTCTCCCTTTGTAAGTGTTATCAGAGGAGGAAAGTCCCACCCATTAGTGACGATCTCTCCCTCATTAGCATAGACAGCTCTGAGTGAGAAGCAGCTTTCCACCAGAGTTTTCACCAGCTAAAAATAATGTCAGTGACTAAAAGACAATATAAATGTGGAACTAGGATGCACAAATGAACAGATGATCCACTTCTAAAGACATTCAGAGAGACAACATTAGTTCAGTTTTGGATCTGCCACTATGCTAACGAATATGCAAATGTAGTTCCGCCCTCTTTTGAAAGGGCACAATCTCATTTGAATTTAACGCAATAGCCATCAAAACAGCACAATCAGTATCAAAGCCTAAAAGCCTAGGTATAAACAATTATCTGTATGGTATTTTGAGCTGAAACTTCACATCCACACTCATGGGACATCAGAGACCTTTTTTACATCTTGTAAAAAGGGGCATAATGGGTCTCCTTTAATAATAAAAAAAAAATGCAGTATTGTCATAATTAGTGTACACTTACGTTAACATTTTTCTGACTCTACATAAAAAGCCACTCACCTTGTAGAATCCATCTCCTTCCTCTATGAGTTTGCTGAGCAGAACAATCATAATATCAGGTTTGGATGTGGCCATTGCCCATGTTGCAGGACCTACAGTAAGAGCAGAAAAGAAGCAAAGCAAAGGGTCAACACACAGACGGATAGGGCACAAAGTAACTGCCTAATCTCTGAAGGACACAAAGAAACGAGCAGGCTGCCAGGATATCTTGCTTGAAAGGAGCCAATGTCTACAAACAACTTCTGGATATCACAAAGCCACGGCAACAGATACACATACACACACACACACACACACACACACACACACACACACACAGACGCACACAAAGAAATAAAACAGAAAACACATCATGAGCAGCTCGGCTGTTTATACCTTGCTGAAATTGAAATCTGTTTATATAAAAACAGTTCAAGACAAGAGTTAGTGAACTTGCAGTCTTCACGTTTGAGCTCTGGGTGGTCATGTGGTTCTACTGGTTTGGACTGAATGTACGTTAGAGGGATGGCGGGAATACAAGATTGATAGGGGTCTAGAGCTATAGACTTTGCTATGGGCAGCCAGTTGCAGTATGCAGGCAGGTGGAGATTTAGTGCAATTCATGCAAGGTGCAGTTGAGGACCTGCTTATGAACACAGGATCAGTTACCAAACTGACGAAAAAACCAAACCGAGAGCAACACTGGGGAAAAAGGTGCTGTTCACACAGAATGTATTCTTGCATTGGAATATATACACACTATAGACACCATATCTTTTATTTTATACACCATACATCTTGATGGCTGTAGACTTCCTGGAGGGGCCGCAGCTCTGCACAGTTTAGTTTTAGCCCTAGTTAAATGCACCAGAACAAACTAATTGAGTCCTTCAGGTTTGTTTGAAAACTACAGGTACAGTGCTCAGCATATACCCAGTTTGAAAATGAATATTTTTCTCCATTTCTCAGCAAATTTGGGTAATGTATATCAGTGCATTTAAATAAAACAGATGTATTAAACAGATGCATTTATTCAAATAATATTTTAGTCACAGAAAATCTTTAGAAATGGAAAGATAATACATTTAAATTCCTTCAAAATATTGCAAAAATTATTACAATAATTACAAACTACAACATTTCAACAAAACTGAAAATATTTGTTTCTGTTTCTCTTGATTTTTGCTACCATTATTATAAGTTATTTCACTATATTAGCTCCAGATTCAGCTTTAGCACTGACTAAACTAATGTATATGCTCAAGTATAATATTGTAAAGGGGGGGGGGGGGACTCTATAGGAACTGGCTTTGACACCTGTGCTGTAGCATAGGCCTCATACAAAACAACTGAATTTCTTCTGCTTGTGAATTTGAATGTAATATTGTGCTTATTATTATTTACTTAGTGAGAAAAGTGCTAAGTACATTTTAACGGAATTAAAAAAAAAAAAACAAAAAAAAAAACAGCTTTCTTAAATAGATTGTGGGATAGTTCACAAACACACAAAAAAATAATAATGTGGGTGTTCGGCATCTTGAAATGTTAAACTAATGGCAGATGCAGCTGCACCCAAATACTGAAAAATGTCACATTCTGCACTTTTCAAAAGCAAAAACAACTCACAAAATGTAGGTCTCTCAAGACAACTTTTAAAATTCCATTAACTTGACAATGAATAAACTTAAAACAATGCTAATGGCCCAAGATGCTGAAAAAACGTCAAAAAGCACAGCAACACTGACAGGCATCAATGTTGCTAAAAAATGAGGCATTAATATGAGGCTCCCAAAAATATCCAAAAAGCACCACAAACACTGAAAGGTGTGCACCGCAACATCTCAAGATGAGTGTTTAACTTATTTTTAATATAGCAACTAATTAATATAGCAATTAAAATCCAACTATTGCAACACAATCGCATTAGAAAAGCACAATGTAATAGAACAAAATGTGAATCTTAAAATGATATCTGAAACTATTTGAACTTCACATAGCATTTAAAGGGTTAGTTCACCCTAAAATTCTGTTAATCTGTTATCAAAGAGCCCCTATTATGTATTATAAAACGTCTTTCACACACACGAGGTTATTATTAGCAAAAAATATAAATGTTATGAATGTAAACATTAGGTGAGCAGGGTACATTGTAACCCTGTGTCCTAACAATGTGCTACGTGTTGAGATATGCAGTGACAAGCAATTTGGCTGTTTGCACCGGACAAAACACAACAGAAATTTAAATACAGCCATTCAGAAGCACAGAATAGTGCGCTTACTGCACTCCAACGAAATGGTAATGTTTATAATCTAATAGCCTACATAATAAACCTCTTTAACATTGTTAAATGTACATGATGAATCACTGATATGTGTTTGTTTGCACTGAGTCACCATTCTAAAGTTCAATTTCAATTTTTTATTTTATTTTTAAGATCTGAGGTAAACTGTCTGTTACTGCTTTCAGTAGTATGGCAATAAATGTAGCTTGAAATGGCATTCAAACTCACATCGTTAGCATTTAACACCGAATAAAGCACATGAGGTGTACCTAAAGGTGATTACTGCAGTTTATCCTGTTTTACCATTTCCAAATATCACCATTTCTAAAATAACAATTTAAGGTGTTGGGTAGAACAAAAACTCCTTTTAAATATGGAAAATATTCCTTCTATCATGTGCCATTGGTTTCATATAGAACACAACCAAAATCAGCCTTTAGGCTCGATAGTCAGGCTCGCCTTTGTTTTGATTTAGGAATGCAATACCTAGTTCAACCACAGGGTGTCAAACTTACATACTGCACCTTTAACAACTAAAAGTTTGAGTAAACAAACCCTTTAAAAATGCAATACAAACGGTGCTAGATGCTGATAAAACAGCCACTCTTGAAAAAATTTTGAACTCTCTTTTACCTGACACAGCATATTAAAAATGCAACACTCACGGTACACCTTCAAAAAACATCAGGTCACTGCAATGGTGCCTAATGCACGTTCACCAAGAGAAATAGTAAAAAACAGTGCAAGAATATATTCTGTGTGAACACCCACCAAAACATTCTGCAGCATCATGCACAATTTCAACACCGGTCATCCTACATGCAGCCATGCAAGCGAAAAAAAGCAGACATAATTAACCAAATGAGTCAATTTTTCACCATCAGAATTATGCAGCAGTCCATAACAACACAAATTCCACCCATGTTTATAGCTCACAGCATCTCATCATTTTTGCCTAGTCAGTAATAGCAATAAACTGCGTTCACATTCAGGCACCCAAAACACACTATCAGACCCGACCAATGGAGAAAGGACCACACAGGTAACGAATGAAGGGACACAGTCAAAAAATGGCAAATGGCCCGCACAAAGCTTTGTTTTACCTCGGGCACGAGTAGGGAGTGTCTGACATCCTGGTTACGACAGGGGTCACGAGTGAAAGGGTGACAGGTTATTGGGAAGGGCATCCGTATCGGACAGGTAAGCAAAGGTTTATGAAAACAAGATACGGGGAGAGCGAGACAGAGTCAGAGGCGAGGGAAGAGAAACAGAGAGAGATTGATGGTGGTTAGGGGTGAAAGGAAGAAGGAAGATCAGCCGTGAGAAGCCGTGGCAAGCAGCAACATTAGCAAAAAAGCAACAAGACCGTCCTGATCAGCTGCAGATCAGTGGAGTCCAGTCAAGAACACATGAGTAGAGGGTTAGAGCAGGATGACTGAGGTCACAGGGAGGGTTATGAAAGAAAAACAGCTAAAGGTGAAGCTCATTTCAGGTGACACATAATCCATGCCTGTACTGCTTATGTTTCTAATGGAGTTTTCAAGGAGTATCCTTAGACTTTTTTAATGCTGCATTCCATTCAAACGTAGATCTAAATAATGAAATACTCTTCTTTTTAGCTTTGTACTCATCCAATTAATTCTGGAAAAACGTTTTGTTCAGCTTGACTGTTTTAAACACTGATCGTAATGCAGAGTTCAGACTGCACGATTTTCAAAGTAGTCACGTCATGGATGTTTTCACACCGCATGACTATCTGGGCTAGCGTTTTGTCGCTTCTTTGTTTCACTGCAAGATGGATCGGCGACAGGGGTTTTCACACTGTATGACTTTACAATAGGAAGAATTGCCGACAACTTTGTCCAAACTTCGTCTCACAACCAAACACAAGCAAGAAGTGACATGGAAACAACGCGAGGTCACATATATCTTTTGGCAATAACTGCATAATGAGAAAGCATTAAATGGGGTGGAAAATGTACACAGTTGCACACCTGACCTTTGAAAGAAACTAGCAATTTATCCTCAACCTATTTCCTTTTGAATGCGGTTGTGGTATTGCTCAGATGACACGCAAACAGACACATGTGCTCCTGCCAAATTTACACTAGATTTTCCTCCATTTCTTGGGTCCAAATAAACTAAAAATGAGCGCTTTTATCTTCTCCCCAACCTCTAGAAGGCCTGCAGATACCCGCACTAGTAAATGCTGCTCTTTTGTTGGCTGTTGGTGATCGCCAATGTTATTTTCAGAACACCTTTCATTCAGCATGATTTGATCGCTGACAGCTCCAGATATTTAGCATACCAAATACTCAATACAAATGACTCATCAGCGATTCTCATAGATCGTGACTTTGATAATTCACACTGTGTGATTGTCACTCGCGTACACGAGCACCGATTTGCCTGTGATTTCATGCATTTGTCAGCGATTTCTCAAAACCTGTTGGCGAGTCAAAATCAGGGCTAAAATCATGCAGTCTGAACTCGGCATAAGACACATTATCTAATCCAAAACACAGAAATAAGCTCTGAAACATAAGAAATTATTTTTCGTAAATATTGGAAAAATTATTTATTTGCGGAAATATTTTTATATATATATTCAAAAATTTGTTCATTTAAATAGAAAATTTGTAATAGTATGATTTGTAATAGTATGTCATAATATTACTGTTTTGACTTCATTTTATGTTAATATTCAAACAATAATTACAAAAATATATATTTTATATATAAAAATTTTAACCCAAAATTTATAGAATACTGATAAAAAAGAATCATAGTTTATAATAATAATAATAATAATAATAATGACAACAACAACAACAACAACAACACTACTTAAACCTATTCTCTGCTTTCATCCAAGCTCCAAATTTATGTAAATATATATATATATATATATATATATATATATATATATATATATATATATATATATATATATATATATATATATATATAAATGAGTTTAAAGTGGCACTTTATTGCATTTTTTTCAAGTAGGGTAAGCTAGTGAATCCAGCTATCCGAGTGTAATGAATTACAGGGTCCCACTTTATATTAAGTGACCTTAACTAATATGTACTTACACAGGAATTAATAGTTTGTTACAATGTACTTATTGTGTAAATACATGTATTTATTGTGTACTTATGCTTGAAAAAATACCTGTATGTAATTACATCTGTAACTAACTTCTGTAATTACATTTGTAAATACACTGCTGACCATTCTCTACACCTTAACCCACCCTTAAACCTACCCATACCACCAAACCTGTCCATAATCCAACCCCTATCCCAACTCAAAAGCACCACAACTGTTCTCAAATACATTATGAACACAGTAAGTACATTGTATTTATTTTTTGATGCAACTACATAGTAGTTAAGGACACTTAATATAAAGTGGGACCAATTACAGCACTACAAGTCTAATATGGTAAATACCTTATTAAAAAAAAAATAATAATAATATATATATATATTTCTTAACAAGTAAACAAACAGTGAATTTTTGTGTACAAACATTCTGGTGATTCTGACTTTTGGGTTGAATGGAACACAGCATTACAACCCTAGCTCAGCAAATACCCAAACATGTAAGCCGATAATGGTTTAGCATTAACAATTTCAGTAAGAAGGCCCGTTTCCATTTAAGCCTACCTATTTTTGCACCCTTCTTGAGCAGTGCCACCACCACTGACGTGTTCCTGCATCCAACCGCTCGATCCAGTGGACGCATGCCGCTGTAATCCACATGCTCAATCATCGCACCGTGATCCACCAGAAACTGCACCTGGAACCATATTAGACAGCCCATTTTTAGGTGAACACACTTTTAAATTGAGAACATCCACTCTATGATGGTCGACTAGAACAAAACCAACCACTTCAGAGTCTCCGTAAAATGCAGCAAGATCCAGTGGAGTGCGGCCGCTCTTGTCTGCATGGGCTGTTGCTGCACCTCTCTCCACCAGAGCACGAACCAACGGGAGGTGTCCTTTAAGACAGGCCCAGCTCAGCGCTGTCAGACCCTCTTTGTCCATTAGAGACAATGACGCACCTGAGGAAGAAGTTGCAAAGAAGTCAGAAAGTCAGAGAAGTTTTGTTATTATTATGCTTTTTCTGATATTACTTTCACCTAGTGTGCACTATAACGGTTTTCTAGAATGTTAAATTTTTTTGTTGCTACAATTAATTATGTAATTGGAGCATAATTATTGCTAACATTAATGCTACTAAAATATATTATTAATTACTTCTCTCTTCATACAATTTATTAAGTTAAATGAAATACTGCAATGTTTAAGGAAGGAGTTCCTTTTATTTTTGCCATAGTTCAAACGAAACATCTCATATATCTGTATTAATAAAAAAAAATGACGCACAGGCTGTACAGTAGTTTTTCTGACAAATTGTTTCAACGGAAATTCGACATGCTACTCTGAGAGATTATAAGAACTGGCAGGGATCATATACTTTTACATTTAGCTGGACATATTATGGACATAATATTTACTGACTATATCAGTCTGGTATAACCTTTCGTTGAACAAAGCTTCTTATGTGCACTTTTTTTTTTTTGCTGCTGCCATCCTCACTTGTGTGTCACACACCTTAAAATTTCCCTACAGTTTTAACAAGTGGTACTCACTGCAGAGGCACATTGACAGAGCTGAACTCCAGCAAGGGGGAGCATGAGCTCCAGCTCTTCTTCCACAAGTGATGTCACTGGGGTATGGGTTTGGGGCGGGGTAGTTGTACGCATTAAAACAGCTTGTAGGAGGAAGAGCTGAAGCACAGGCTGCCCCTCATTAAAAGTGAGCTCCACCCAAGTAGGTTTGCAGCGAGCATCCTCTCGGTTTTGGCGCTGCTTGTATTTGAACACAGCTACAGCCTCGTACCCTCCGGCCATGCTAAATGTACACCCCTGACTGTTTGTAAATAATTTTCTGCAATGTTTTAAAGATCAGAGTGCAGATAAATGGAGATACTGTCTCCCCTCTCAAAAAACAAAATGAGTTTGTTTATTATTGTGAGTAGCTTCTTTCACACATACAATCTTTTCCGGAAAATTACCGTTAAATTGACAGATTAATTACCCTAGTTTCTGCAATTTTCCTCAATGAGAAGTATGACGATGATATTGATGGTATGATAATGTACAAGATGTGGAAACATATAAAACTATCAACAAAAATCCTGGCCCCTTCATGTTTACCAATTCTAGCAAAACCCTTGATGATGTTTTTCTGAAATAATTCCAAATGTCATTGCTTGTGCAAACAGCCAATGTTTGATAATGTTTGAATTTATCAATAAAGTTGTTTTGGTAATTTAACAGCCATTCACCAGGATTGTGAAACGGGCCAGTATTGTGAAACGGACTAATGAAGACTTTTTGTGTGGCAAAAGCAAATCCAAACTGTTTGTTATAACAGTTTGGATTATTCAGCTACTTTATTTGGTGTATTATTTGCGAACTTGGGCTCAATATGTTATCATAAAACTGACATCATTAATACTGCTCATATCACCGTGTTCACAAGTGCTGAGTAAGCCTCAAGAGCTGGAATTCAGATATGAATTTGATAGAATTTTGAAACATGCTAAATAAGTGGCAGACAAATCCCAAAAGGCTAGGCCATCAGACCAATCAGAGCAGAGAAGTGTTTTGTTGTCCTCAGGTGGATGTAAATCTTTCTCAGGAGACCTCCAAAAGCATACTTAGGAACCTGAAAATAGCATAACAGATAGTGCAGCAGTAAATTTAGTGCGTGAGCAGACCAGCGGTACCTTGAGCCAGCAGGAACTCTGCAGTACCCAAATGTCCTTCAGAAGCAGCCATCATTAGAGGTGTTCGCCCTTGTTTATCAGCCATGTTGACATCAGCGCCATGATTTAGCAGCAGGTCCACTATCTGCAAACGCAATTCCAACATCTCAGACTGAAACATTTGCAAAATGCAAATCTTCAAAGTGAAAATGCAGCAGTAGGAGGAGCCGACCTGCCAGTGTCCCTGCCGAACAGCGCTGAAGAGCGGCACGATGCCCCTGCGGTTGGGCTGAGCCACAGCGGCCCCCTGCTCCAGTAGAAGACGACAAACATCCAGCTTTCCCCGACCCGCTGCAGCTGTCAGAGCTGACATACAGATAGACATAGTCTCCTAAGTGAGTAATCTCTGCACTCACAGATTTAATGGAATATACAGTATGTAGTGTTGTACCTGTTTCACCCCACAATGTATCAAAGTTGTTTATTTGAGCTCGTTCCTCCTCTTCCTCATCTTTCTCAGGCAGGTCGAGTAGGTATGATACAATCTGTTAATGAATAAGAAAAGTGTTATTAGCAAGCTTTAAACAATTTGGGGATAGTTAAGTCGATCTGGTGAACCTGTGATTAGAAATAACTGGTTCAAAAGGATAATTTTGTGTAGACTAGAAATCACTTGGGACTGTATGGATTACAGCTAATAGCAGGGTGCCAATTATACATTGCCTATTTGATTATCAGCTTTAGTTTTTGTAATACAAATGCATGACTCAATGAACTTATTGAAGTTTTCAGTGTTTTTAGGTATAATGATTATATTTGGATTAATCTCTGATGGACTGTTTTAACACACACATGCAGTTCACAAAGATTACCTTTTATAACTGAAAGATTACTGTTATATAATGCCGAATTTTGCCGAACGGCGACAAGTTTGCATCCTTTCATCGATATGGATGATAGCATCTATTAAAAATAGACACTATAAGTCTAATTTGACTTTACCTTTAGCCTATTTGTAGATACAAACACTTATTTTACAAAAGTGTCTTTGTAGACTTGCAGTGTCTATCATTTGGCTGGATCTGTTGGTTTCATTAAAACGACTGAATATATTCTGACAATGGTATGAACTATCACAGGGGCAGTGAAATTTACATTTATATTACTCAAGCCTGGTTTATAATCTATGTGTCCACTAGTTCACTTGAGTGCGCACAGCGAATGTGATGTCATCGCTGTGTTTGCGGAGGTTCACTTTGGGTGCGCGTGACATGATTTCAGCTGGCGGGGCACATGATTTTTTTTTGAGACTCGTGCGAACAGTGCACACATCATCAGGTTTAATTTGAGTTAAATATGAACCATTTTGAAAAGATTTTGTCTGAAACATGTACGCCTATACAGACATCTTTATGATTCGTGATCATACAGATAACCAGATGATCAATAATTCTTGGCTAGAAATTACAACAGCAGTTTGGAAAAACCTGAGAGATAAGGTTGTTCAAGCCATACTAGGCCATAGCACAATTACAGAAATATGTTTTACCACCATTCATAGGTTTTACACTGATGTACACATTACAATTTTGAATTTAAAACAATTTAATAGTTACAAAATTAAAATGAAAGAACAAATCATTTATATTTGAACCTATCACTTTACAATAAACTGAAGCCTGCTTTTCTAGGTTTAACTGATAATGGTACGGAATGTTGGACCATTATTGCCTTTTTAGCATAAGTATGGGACAGAAACTAGCCAGAGCAGGCTAAATCTAAAAAAGTATCTGTATTTAAAAAAATCTTGAATAGTTATAAAAATCATTATAATTATTAAAATAATTAATAAAAATACTAAAAATTATTAGTCAAAAAATCTTGAATGATATTAATGATATGACGTAGTAAGGGAAACTTCCTACTTCTGAAGGTCAGTTTTTTTTGACCGCTCCCTGTCGTTTTAAAGAATAACAACAGCAAAAGCAGCAAGTATAAAAGCCTCGTTAGTTATGTGAGGTGCGCGCAGTCAGCAGAGGTTCATCATTATTTAAGATAAAGATACATGCAAACTATTTTCCACTATTCACTGGGCACTATTCATAAGGTTTCGACGTTTTGCACCAAGCATTAATTAAAAGGATCAAACCCCCACAAATCTGTACTTTACACTCTGGATAAAAGCCATATTTATAATGTTCAGTTTTAACGTACAGACTGATTGTTTCAATTCAAAAGACCTTTAAGTGTGTCCTAGAGCCAAAGTTATTCACTTAGACTTGTCTTTGTATGCTTTTTTTGACCTGATAACTGCTGACTTGCATTTTAAGAATCACCCGTTTTCCCAAAGCATTACCTAAATCTACTAAAGAAAAAAGGCACCTACATCTTGGATGGTCTGTTTACTAAGAACAGTTTTACATTATTGGATGAACTTTATTTACTCACCTCAGTATAGCCCATACTAGCTGCTGCAATGAGGGCCTGTTGTATTGCATGACTCTTGCTGAAGGATCCAACTTGTTGTCCGTCTGTATTCCACTCACACTGGACTAAATACTTCACCACCTCCAGATGACCTCGCAGAGCAGCGTGAACAAGTGCACATTGACCGTTTTTATCCAGATGATCCACCTGAACAGAAACACACAGAAGAGAGACAGAGATGAAGCCTCAGTGACTGATAACTATTATATCGTGTTCTTATTGGTTATCACTGACCTTGGCTTTCTTGCTGCAGAGAGCGGTGACGATGGACAGGTGACCCGCGGCGGCTGCGTAGCCAAGAGGAGTGAGTCCGCTCTCTGAAACACCATCTACATCGGCCCCAAACTCCAACAGCAGAGCTGCAGTCTCCAGGTAGCCCAGGTGAGCATGAACACACAGGATTGGTGCATTATTCAACACCTCTGTGCGGTAGTTCACATTAGCTCCACCCATAATCAGCAGACGAGACACCTGGAGGAAAAGAAAAGAGGGAGGAGCTAAAATAAAACCATTGCTGAGTCCGAAACTACTTCCTATCAACTATATCTGCTTGTTAAGTCATGACGTATACGTTCGGTAAAGTATGAAATACTGTTTCTGTGTCCAAGCCGCTACTCATTTGAATTAAGAAAATATTAATTTATGGCCATAGCGATTGTGATTTTCGAAAGTATTACATCGCTTTTTAAACGTTTATTATTACAATTCGTTGAGTCTCCCTTTAGAGTTTGATTAAGCACTTGGAAGCTGATTTGCATGACTTCACACTTAACAAGCAAACTATATAGTGCACTATATTAAGTGATGTTCAAATTCAGAGTCAACGACTTCCTCTCCTACATTCATTCACTATGTTTTACCTACAATGCACTCTGATTTCGATTGTAAATTCGATGTACACTCTTTAAAAAGTGTTTCACAAAATCCACTTCAAAGCAAAAGAAGAATGGTAAATTTCATTCAGGATTACCTCAGAAGTTAGCAAAATTAATAATCAACATGTTCATAGACAAGTTACATAGAAGGCTTTCATTTCTAATCTGATAGCCTCAAAACTACACCAAACGATGTGAGCTTGTGCTGTAATCAGGACTGGCATAGGTACATTGTGTTTCTCTACTGTTTATTTTAAAACCAAGCATATAATTTAAGATAGGAAAGTTTAAATCTGGCTAGTGCACTTCAACTTTATGTCTCATAATGTTTAGGAATTCTGTCTGCTCAAGCCCATTTGGGTCAAACACAAGACGCACATGTTGGTGTCTGAAGCAAATTACATTTATAAAAGATAAAGATTTAAATTTACATCTAATTTGCATTTTGAGGTTGCACAGAGATCCTTAAATAAAGTCTCATCTGGTTTTAAATACCTTGACATTAGGAGTGTAGAGGTTTCTCAATGAAGCCAAAGCTGTGGAGAGTCCTTCTGTACTGTAGGAAACCCACAACCCCTGCAGCACTGAGGAGGAAACCCCAACCTTCTTACTCAAGCCCTGCATTCAAGAGACAATGCAGTTAATAATTCAAAATAAACAAACAAACATGGCAATATATTTCCAGTAATATTTTTTGATAAACAGTTGTTTACTGCTGCACACAACTTGATACAAAGTTTAAGAAAGCTAAAAACAGGTAAAGGTTGTTTTGTTGATCTAACCTTAAAGATGTGAGCTTTGAGAATGTGGTGGCCAAGTTCAAGGGTCTGTTGTCGATTAAGCTTGCTGTCTTGCCGTGAAAACCAGAATGCAAGCAGTGTGTGGCCACTCCTAAAGAATCCAGGGGGAAAGATGCAGGTATAAGTAGGGGATTTAAGAGGCTTTAGTAAGATTTCCTATGTTCATTTCATCATTTTCAATTTCCTTCTACACTGTGGCATATTTTGGAGTGTGAAACAATATTCAACAAGACAAAATGTGGAACAGGAAATCATGAAATAACATTTTGATGAGATATTCAACAGACAAACATTCTCACCTGGGGTCACAGAGAAACTTGGTCTTCTCTCCATCCTCTCTCCAGATGAGCCACTCTCTGAAAGAGGGGTGGATGAACATGCGGGTTCCATCACGTCGTTTCACCAGAAATGGCGACAGAAGCTCAGATCTCTGCTGGAAATCCTCCCACTCCATGGATGCTCCACGCATCATACCAGCGTTCACGGCACCATAGGCCTGCTCATCGGTTAATGGGTGCAGAGAAGCTACAGCCACGTTTAGCAGTGGAAGAACACGCTCGAATGATGACTGAGTTGGGAAACGCATGTTCAGCTGCAGCAAGTAGACCTCAGCCAGATTCACTGGAACCACCTAAATAAAAACATTGGTGTTACAAAATAAAATAAATATATGCCAGAAGCTTATTCATTATATACCATTTCAACACAGAACCAATCTAAAATGAATGTTTGACTTTGTTGAGCCCTGACCTTGTAGCTAGAGCTTTTGAGCACAAGGTAACCCTTCTCAATGAGGTCCAGCGTGAGCTTTAGGTACAGGTAGGAGCCCCGGCTCAGACTCTTGAGATGAGCGCTAAGTTTTGTGAAGGCTGTGTTGTCCAGCTTGCCATTGAGTGCCACATTGTTCTGAATCTCCTGGCTGGCATGAAGCCGGTGAAGGATGTAGCCTTGCAGGTCAGAATCAATTGCATCACTTTCTTCCAGACGATCCAGAGAGATACGGTGGAATGGCAATGGACGAGTCACATCCTAAGGCCAAGAGAAAAAAATAAAATAAAAAAAAGAGTACATTTCAGTTAAATAGATGGATTGATGGAGGAATGGATGGAGTGGTTGGATGGACAAATGAAGGAATACGGGAAATATTAGTTGGATACATAAATGGTTAAAGGGAGGTAAAGGGTTTTAATAAAGGGAATGAGGGAAAGATTTAAGACTAGCAATGGATGAGGGAACGAATTTAGGGATCGATAGAGAAATGTAGAATGGAAGTGGAATATGGGAAGATGGATGGATTGGTAGATAATCAAAAATAGATAGAATGAGAAAAATGAATGTTGAAATGTAAGAATGGTTGGAGGGGAGGCTGAATAAATCTACGGAAAGATGGGTGGAGAGATTGATAGATAGATGGATGAAGGAATGGAGGGATAGGTGAAATTGCAATGGATGAGTCACATACTAAAAACAACAAAAATACATTAGAGTAAACTAAATGGATAGATGGATGGAGGATTGGGTGGGTAGAATGATGGAGAAATTATTCGAAGGAATGGGATGAAAAATGTGATAAATGTGTGGAGGGGCAATGGGTGGGAAGTTGGAAGAATAACAATGGATGAGGGAACAAATGTTGAAATGGACAGATAGAGGAATGGAGAAATGGAGATAGAATATGGGGAGATGGACGGAGCGGATGGATTGGTAGATAGTCCAAAATAAATAGAATGAGAAAAATGAAAGTTGAATAGTAGGAATGGGTGGAGGGGTGGCTAAATAAATCAAAGGAAGAATGGGTGATGGATGAAGGAATGGAGAGATAGGTGAATGGAAATTAACAGATAGATGGAGCGATTGAGAACTGCTAGGAAAACAGGCAGATGAATGGAAGGACGAGGTACATGCAAAAAGGATAGATGGATTGGGAAATATGGATGTTAGATGGTGGGAATGGATAGAAAGGTGGCTGAATGAATGGAGGGATAGATGGTTGGTTGGATGGATGGATGAACACTAATAGATAAAAGTATATAGAGAGATGGATGGAAGGAAAGTAGATGGATGAAAAAAATGGATGAAGGCATTGAGATGAATGGATGGATGGATGGATGGATGGATGGAATACAGACCTGTAGTGTTGTTCTGACAGTGACCACTAGTTTTAGCCAGGGAGGAAACCGCTCAATAGTTTTGCACAGAAAGGAAACAATGGTTTCTCCATAATCCGGTTTGTGGAACTCTGCCTCATTCAGCCCGTCAATCAAGATGATCAGATTCTCCTCACACGCAATCTTCCTCTCTGTAAACAATGCAAGTTCCATCGATATATGTTAGAATCCATATAAAGTATGAACCCAAAATCCATAAACATCAGTATACTAATTTGAGCATGCATAATCAGGATTTTTCACCTCGATGCAGGATCTCCAGAGGCTCCAGCAGGCCCCTGCGGAAGGCATTGAAAGGGTCCTGGACGCAGGCGCGCAGGCTCAATGTGCTTTGTAGGTGTGGCTGGCGGAGCAGAAGATCTCTGTAGGCCTGCATCTGAGGTGCCCTGCACAACAATGCTGCCACATTGTGCACAAACTCTGGCACCAGGCATGTGTACGCGTTGTCTGACTGACAGTAATGGTACGCCACCACCTACAGCAGGAAGAAGAAACACATGAGTCTGAGTAGAGTAAAGCTGTTTTAAATTGACTTACCTACACTCATTGAATTTAACTGGCAAAATAATTTTCCAAGTGTGCCAATATTTTATTATTTATTATTTAGAATTTATTAAAAATAAAAAACCTGAAAAACCACATGTACATAAGTATTCACAGTCTTTGCTCAATACTGTGTTGATGCACCTTTGGCAGCGATTACAGCCTCAAGTCTTTTTGAATATGATACCACAAGCTTGGCACACCTGTCTTTGAGAATTTTTGCCCATTCCTCTTTGCAGTACCTCTCAAGCTCTATCAGGTTGGATGGGAAGAGGCGGTGTACAGCCATTTTTAAATCTCTTCAGAAATGTTCAATAGGATTTAGATCTGGGCTCTGGCTGGGTCACTCAAGAACATTCATAGAGTTGTTGTGAAGCCACTCCATTGATATTCTGGCCGTGCGCTTCGGGTCATTGTCCTGCTGAAAGATGAACCGTTACCCCAGTCAGGTCAAGAGCACTCTGAAGCAGGTTTTCATTCAGGATATCTCTGTTCATTGCTGCATTCATCTTTCCCTCTATCCTGACTAGTCTTCCAGTTCCCATTGCTGAAAAACATCCCCACAGCATGATGCTGCCACCACCATGTTTCACTGTAGGAATGGTATTAGGCAGGTGATGAGTGGTGCCTGGTTTTCTCCAAACCTAACGCCTGGCATTTACTTCAAAGTGTTAAAGTTTAGTCTCATCAGACCAGAGAACTTTGTCTCTTATAGTCTAAGGCCCCGTTTACACTAGTGCGTTTTAGTTTTAAAACGGTGTTGTAGAATGAAAACGATCCGCGTCCACACTCGCGTTTTACCCAGCGTTTCTGAACAGCTCTCCGTCCACACCAAAACGCTGAAAACGCACATCACGTGACCACACACACACTCTCGGGCAAGCGCTCCAGCATTTTTACCCAGATGAGAGCTCTGCTTGTCGGACTGCTCATCAAGCATCTCCCGCTGGATCTAATCTCACTATATTTGCTGAACGTGATATTTCATTCATGTTGTTGTCTTTATCTAACGACATAGGCCAATTCCCTGACTTTGGTCATTGACATCTATTAAGTTACTTGTTCACGGGTAACATGTTTTGGTTAAGCGCAAAGATAAGTTAATGATTAATCCAGGTACATTGACTGATCGCTTGCCTTTACTTCCTACAATGTATAAACTTATTGTATGTTATACTTTTATAATTATCGATTATTAAAACTGATGTTCAGCAAAAGAGAGGGTATGTTTCGTATTTTCACTGAAATTGAAAGGAGATCAGTTGTTATCGGCTCCGTTTTGTTATAAATATCCACACAGTGAAGATGACGCTCATATATGCAGCACGACGCCTCAACATTTCTGCTGTCTGTTAAGTTGCTAATATTAAAAAGAAAATAGGCAGTTCCTTAAATCATGTTTACATTTTATTGTTGAGAAAGTGAAACAACGTAGCCAAGGTGATGTGAATGAAGTTATAAAGTACACTGTTCCCTTTGAAGATTTACCCGTGTCCTCGGTATGTTTTCCATATCAAACTGAGAAGGGGGAGACTGCAGCCTTGATCAAACTTGCGAAGTCTTAACTTACAAGAAGAGGATGCGAGACTGAACTGTGTGTGGGCTACTTAATATTGAGGAAAAGCCCCAATCAGATAGGCGAACGTTTGCAGCCCCGCCTCCGTTTTCAGATGTCTCCGTCTTTCCCCATCCACACTGAGACGGAGCAGCAGCGTTTCAGAATGAAAACGGCCTTTCCAGCGTTTTCAAAAAGCTCCGTTTTTGGCGCTCGAGAACTCCGGCGTAGTGTGGACGGATGGCGTAACCGTAGCAAAACTTATGCGTTTTCTAACTAAAACGCACTATTGTAAACGGGGCCTAAGAGTCCTTCAGACGCCTTTTGGCAAACTCGAGGCAGGGAGTCGGTTCCTTCTGGCCACTCTACCATAAAGGCCTGATTGGTGGATTGCTGCACAGATGGTTGTCCTTCTGTAAGTTACTCCTCTCTCCACAGAAGAATGCTGGAGCTTAGACAGAGTGACCATCAGGTAATTTGGTCACTTTCCTGACTAAGGCCCTTCTTCCCCAATTACTCAGCTTAGATGGCCGGCCAGCTCTAGAAAGAGTCCTTGTGTTTCCAAACATCTTTCACTTACGCATGATGGAGGTCACTGTGGTCATTGGAACTTTCAGAGCAGCAGAAATTTTTCTGTAACCTTCCCCAGCCTTGTGAGACAATCCTGTCTCAGAGGTCTACAGACAATTCCTTTGTCTTCATGTTTGGTTTGTGCCTTGACACAAACCCTGGGACCTTGTATAGGCAGCTGTATGCCTTTTCAAATCTTGTCCAATTAACTGAATTTACCACAGGTGAACTCCAATTAAGCTGCTGAAACATCTCAAGAATGATCAGTGAAAAACAGAATGTATCTGAGCTCAATTTACAGCTTTACAGCAAAGGCTGAGAATACTTATGAACATGTGATTTTTCAGCTTTTTTTCTTTTTAATAAATTTGCAACAATTTAAAAAAATCGTTTTTTCACATAGTCATTATGGGGTATTGTGTGTAGAGTTTTGAGGTAATAAATGAATTTATTCCAGTTTGAAATATGGCTGTAACATAAAAAAGAGAAAAAGAGAAGCACTATGAATAATTTTCAGATGCACTGTATATTATAGATGCATTAAAATGAACAAAAATGACATTTATAATGGCATAAAAACTTGTAAAAGCATGTGAAGACAGGATTTAAACAGGCAAAAGCTACTTTCATAAGTCTATATGAATTATTATTAGAATATTAGGCATTTCTACTAAATATACAGCAAACAGCTCACTGATAAATTTATCACAATAAAGGAGCTACATCTGTGCTAAATGTATTTTTAGACAAAAAAAAACTTTCCAATCTCCAGTATCTAGTGCAGACACTGTTCAAAAACACAATGAATATTAAATCTAGAGTAAGATTCAAAGCTCAGGAGTTTCCATGTGATGAAGGGGTTCTGCATTAAACATCATTGAGTTTGAGTGCATCGTTGGCCTTATTCCAATACTCTAAAACTGCTGCTTCCTTGGATTCACTTCGCCTGTGTGCATGCGTGTGTGTGTTTCAAAGCTTGTATCATTAGCGATGCAGAGCTCTGAGTATATCTAATGGCTGTGCTGGGAGACTCTGTGCATATAAATATTTGATAAAGCAACAGAGCCGCAATAAACCTTTGTGCTTAAAAGAATAGAGAGAAGAGGAAAGCGCCAATAGAGAGAGAGAGAGACGGGACAAGATTAATAAAAGAAGAAGGAGACAAAGCAAGAAACAGGGAGACTGAAAGTAAGCCAATGGAAGAGGAGAGCAGAGGAGAGAAAGACTGAATGGCAGGCTGGTCTTGTGCCCACTGTGTGGATATGAGTTGGCACCTGGGCAGCCAGTCTTCTGAGCGCCTCCTCCTGGCGTCTCCTCATCTCTGGTGTTCCAGGGCAGCTGCTTCCTCCAACCAGAGTGCCATGAGCAGACTGAGGCTGACTCAATGGTAGCGTGTCTCCATCTGACAGAAGACACAGCAAAAATGATATTAACTGAAACTACTCAACACAGGTCTGAACATACAGTAAATATACTGGGGTGTTCAAGCATCCAAACCAATTTTCCCTAATAATCTATCAATTATTTTAACAGGTTTATTATTTGAATTATTTTTAAAGGTGTCATTTTTAATTTAGTTTATATACTTAAAGAAATAGCCAGGAATATTTAGAACATGAATTATTTGATGACAAAGTAAGACACAATTTAATGATCACAGTGCATCCTCAAACTATTCATTCATCTTTATGATTCACTATTATGCCTCAGACCACAAAATTTTAAATATTTTGCCAGCAATATGTTTTTGATCATTTAAAATGTTATTATTAAATTTAGTATGAATTTAACTTTTGAATATAATAAGCAGAGATCATCATGAATAGAGATCAGAGATTCATGTGACATTGACATTTGACTTGACATTGGTTCATTGACATGTTCATTTGACATGTTATTTTTGTAAGTTATTTGACAAGTAATTGAATTAAAATATTGTTATATAAATTATAAACATCTTAAAATACATCATTTTTACAAATATAAAGACAATGTACATGTAATTAGACGTACAAATTCATATTAAATACAATTTAAAACATAAAACATAAGTATAGAAGTTATTTCAGATTTCTTTGGTTATTTTTAAACAAAAAACAACCATGATTATGTTATCCAATAAACTATCAGCTAACTATCCCAATGCCTCTAAAGCAGGGCTTAAGTAACTACTTTTAATGTTTTAAATTCTAAAAAGGTTTATCTCTGTTGGGCACTTCACAAGTGACATTAGGAAAATATCTTCAGCTGTAGTATAAACAACTTATAGTTCTTCCGCAGACCAAATAAATAAATAAATAAATAAATAAAAAACAGCATACAGGTTTAAGATCATAACTAGATGGTCAGTGAAAAGAAAGTTACAGAACTAAACACCTCTGTATGTTCATGTTTTAGTCTGATAAGTGATGTACAAGCAAATCCACTCACGTTTTGGTGAAGCGTGTGGACTGTCAGAGGTGATCTGTCTCATGCGGTTGCCGTGGCAGCTGAGAGCCACCAAGCGAGAGATGATGGCCGTCTTGCCGAAACCCACGTTGCCTACAATAATGACACCTTGACTGGTGGTGGACTCACTGCTGCGGAGACACATGTCCACTTCCTGGAACAGCCACTCTCGACCAGTGAAAACTGCATCAGGTGTCAAACTGGGCACTTCGAAGAGCAGCGGTTTCAGGGCGATGTCCGGCGGCCGATACGGAGCAAAACGCACTGCAGCAGGGGAAACAATGGCAAATACTGTCATGAAAATGGGTTTATATTGCACATTATTCACCCAAATAACCCTTCAAAATGTTCCTTTTGATTCTACTGTAATTAGAATGATTACAGTTCAGTTTCCAATTTAATCAAAAATAAAATAACTAATAGATATTGCCATTTAACATCTTTTCTCTGGAACCAGATACACAAGATTGCCTCTTTGCACCTTCCAGTACTATTTGTAAATCAATTATTATTATAAATATATTAATATTCACTTTTATCATTTGTCTTGTCAAACTTGTTTTTAGATACATTTTTACATGGCTACTTTGAATAGCTTTGCTATGTTAAATTAACTTTATAAATACATTTGACTTTACCTACTTTCAGTGCAGGATTAATTGCGATTAATTTTGGAAATCTCTTTGTATCACTACATAATTCAGAAAATACTGCATAGAGTTAGAAAAAATTATGTGTAGAAAAAAATCTACATAGAATAGATCATATAAAATAATCAGGCAAATTATGTATAAACATATCTCACTGAAAATATTTGAAATAAATGTTTGCATGAATATAAATAAAACTTTGAAGCTTGGTTTGGAGATTTATACTTGTGAACTGAAGAAGAAAATTTACAAAAAAAAAAAAAAAAATGCATATTGTAGCCTGACTGAAATCTACAGGCACAAGTAATTAAGTAAGTAAGTAAGTAAGTAAGTAAGTAAGACAAAATTGTTGCATGCAGAATTGTTGCAAACATTTTATTTGTGTTGAATTTAAACAAACAAATTAAATTTAATAATGTTCAACTTAATTTGTTTGTTTAAATTCAGCCTAAATAAATTGTTTACAACCACTTAACGTAAAAAAATGAGTAAATCCAAGGAATAATTTTTGAATATTTTTTTTTCAGTGTAAGTAAGTAAGTAAGTAAGTAAGTAAGTAAATAAATAAATAAGTAAGTAATGTGCATTTATATAGTGCATTAATTGTGTATGACCATTCACCCAAAGCACTTTACAATCATGAGGGGGCTCTCTTCTGAAATAATAATATTCTTTAAAAGTGACAATTAAGTATATTGTTGGACATTTACTTAACATTCAACTAAATAAATCTCGCAAGAGAGAGGTGCATGTTTTTTTTTCTTTTTTGCCTATAATATTGCACCTTCAACATCTTCCATCTGCACTAACCATTTTGAACCAGCAGGGGGAGATGCTATGACTAGAAAAAAAGCTAATGAATGACAGCTTACGCAAGTCAAGAGCTGCAGTGTGAAACACCATGAATCAGTGGCTGTCGACGGGGTGCCTTGACCCATTAATGTACAGCACACAAAAAAAAAACATCTGAAAATATCCCATCAGCCTTCATGCATCCAGAACAGCCGTAGAGCTGTTGCCATGGCTACAGGAACCCACCATTGAGAATGCTTGTTGCTTTTGTTCATAGATTACTTGTCAAATTCACAGAGAGCATGCATAAAGCCACATGCATATTCACGAGCCCCTTAATCCGTCACATAAAGATCCTTTAAAACAATTCTCATCAAAAATTCATGTTCAATCATTATTCTTTTGCGTACATACAAATGGCTAATCTCAATTACTGATAATATTCGATGCAAGTGTCATTTCAAAAGCAGGCATGGATATTAGGGGGGAAGTCTTTGAAGTAATTAGAATAAATTATTCAAGACTGCTATAGAACTTCCTGATCATATAGGATTATGCTGCAACATGTGTGATGGAGCATTTCATGAGATTATTTATCCCTTCATTCGCGCTACTAATTAGCCAGATAACATGTGAATTTATTATCTGTGCATTAGCATAAGAAGGTAGGCGGGGTTACGCAGGACGAGGTGACCTTTATGAATGCATATGCAGAAGAACAGCACGAAAAAAAAAGAAAGGCAAGAAATAAGGACAATGGAGAGAGATAGAAACCAGAGCAGCCGAGCTGTAAAGAACTAGAGATGAGAAGACTGCAATAAAGAAGAGGTGAAGTGAAAAGTCAACCGAGCACAACACAACCCACAGCAGTTTAGTAGCATATATTAAATCTCCTTTCACAGTAGGGTAGCTTCACATTACTATGCGCTTTCTGCAGTTAAGTGTCATTATTACTGGCGGAAATGGCCCTTAATGCGTTCTGAAAGAGTACTAATGCATGAAAGAACCTGATTGTAATTGTGGCAGAATTATGTGATTAGTAATGATGTGCTAGAATTACTATCTACAGTAGTTATATTCAGCTAATTCATGTCTGATGAACGGTTTGAGCATCACATTACTATAAAGGCTTCAATATACAGTACATCGAGTGAAACTGGTTTGACGTTATTTTGATCAAAAGAAGGCCAAAATGAATGCTACATCTGAAACTATAGACTCTGTGCTTATTTTGGATACTTTCTAGAACATTTACCTTAAAATCAACTACTATTGGTTTATGGAGATTATTTAATAGCATGTGTAAATCGGAAGTGCTGCCTTCGTTTATGTGAAAATGTTCTCTGGTTCATTTCTCCACTTGTGTTTGTCACATGTCTGACAGTAAAAACAATTACTTTAATTTGAAGAAAGCCAGCCAACCAACCAACCAACCCAACCCAACCCCACCCACCCAAATCAACCCAATCCCTCAAACCTACATCAAATCAAACCAAACCAAAACAAACCAAACCAAATCAACCAAACTCCACCTACCTAAATCAAATAAAACCAAACCACCCAAATCAAATCAATCCAAACCAAACCCCACCCACCCATATCAAATCAAATGAAACCATAACCAATCCATACCAACCCCACACACCCAAATCAAATCAATCCAAACCAAACCCCATCCACCCACCCATATCAAATCAAATGAAACCATAACCAATCCAAACCAACCCCACACACCCAAATCAAATCAAACCAACCAAACCCCACCCACCCATATCAAATCAAATTAAACCAAAACCAATCCAAACCAACCCCCACACCCAAATCTAATCAAACCAACGAAATCCTACCCACCCAAATCAAATCAAACCAACCAAATCCTACCCACCTAATTCAAATCAAACCAACCCAACTCCACACACTTAAATCAAAATCAAACCAAATCAAACCAACCAATTAACCAATCAACCAACCCCACCAACCCAAATCAAATAAAATCAAACTAAATCAAACCAACCTACCAACCCCGTCTACCCAAATCAAACCAACCAAAACTATCCCTACCCACCTAAATCAAACCAACCAAACCAATCAAAACCATCCCTACCCATCCAAATCAAATCAAACCAACCCAACCAAATGAAACTAACCCCATCCCACTACACCCCACCCACCAATAATAAAAAAAAAAATCAAACCAATTCAAACCCCACCCAAATCAAATCCAGCCAAACTAAACCAAACCGACCCAACCCAACCTAAACTCACCCACCCCACCCACCCAAATCAGCCAATCCAAACCAAACCAACCAACCGACCAACCAAACCAACCTAATCAAACCAAACCCACTCAACCAAATCAAACCAAACCCACTCAAATCAAATCAACCCAACCCAACCCAACCTAACCCCACCAAACCAAACCAAACCAACCCAATCCCATGTGTAAAGCATACAACTCTGTTCTAGTGATTTTTAGATATTTTAATGAAAATAAATTACATATTGTGTCTTTACCAGTGTAAAACTACTAGAATTTTTTAAATGCGTTTTTTAATAGAAATTTTACTAATCACATTTCACCAATGACTTCCATTCTTTGTTAATTACAGAGTTCTATAGTTTGATATATTAGCACAAATAATTCTAATCAGAAAAACCCCAACTGTTAAGAACTTCTATTCATCTGTAGAGCTCTCTAATTGTAAAACTGTAATTAAAAATGAATGGTAGTCAATGCAGACTTGTATAAAAGTAATTTGTGGGGATTTCTGGGACTGCTGCCAGCAAGAATTTCTTTTTACCTCTAATAAAGAATGGAAAAGAACTTCATCGTGAGCTTATCTAGTCCTCTATAAGGAAATTGGCATGGAGAGACTATTGGAGTTGTGAGTGAATAAGAAGCGCAGATCTCTACATGATTTCGGACATTTGGAGCCTTGACTGTGAGCTTTAGACAGCAGGCTGAGCTCTGACAGATGAGCCTGTGCTAATGCTAATACGAAGTCAATACATTGATCTGGATAGGAGACAGATTATAGCACAGCAGTCCAAAGGGGAAAAGCGAGAGCAGCAGGCCGAGGGGGGAGAGAGTGATACAGCAGAAGAGCTGTGTTCAGGGTTTTAATGGGGACATGCCATGTGTAGCGGAGAGCAGATGTAACAGAGCTAAAGTACATATACCAACAAGCGTCAATACGATTAACATTACACTGCAGAGGTTTTTTTTTAAAAAGGACATAATCAACCATTTGTATAACTCTGTTTTTGCTTTAAAATCAGTCTGAATTTAGGGGGTGTTAAAAAAGTAATATTGGCTACTGCCATTCATTTATAACACAACAAAAGTCTTTTTATTTTAAGGAGTCCTCATTACTGTATAGGATGTTTCACATGACGTCATTGATGACGCACGAAATTCAGATGGAGGTCAGGAAGTGATTCTTCTACATAGGAATCGCTAGGCGTACATCAAAATGTTTCTATTTTATGTTGTTTAAAATTATTTAAATCGGCCAAAATAAGAAATGCTGAACAGCTTTTATAGAATTTAAAAAGTTTTTGCTCATAAAGAGGAGAAAGAAATGCATAAACCCTTGCGACAAAACTAGACGTTTTTCATTGTGGAGCACCTTTTTCCCCTTACAAAAATAAATACAGTAACAATAGTGTAACTGTGGTGCATTGTGATGGTGTATACAGTATCTTATTCAGTATCTACCGCATCAATGATAGGCTAATATATATTAGTTTAGTAGCCCTCTTCATGATATAAGGATCATGCCCAACATATGTGGTTATTTTCTATTTATATTTCCATTGAAATGTGGTATAAATCGCAAAAATACAGACTTTTCTCTATGCCTCTCATTCAGTTTTTTACTGTACTACCTGCCCTCCATCTGAATTTCGTGAATCACCAGAACCATGTGATTGAAAACAACCTATGAATAATTATGCATCACTTGAAACTAACCCTAAACCGAACCCACATTTCAACCATAAAGTAAGTGCATGTACTTAATTAATCTCACTCAGTTGTTAAATGAATAGTTACTCTGCCATAAACATCACCCTAAAATAAAGTGTGACCCACCATCTTTTGTGGGTGTGGTAAAAATGACTGAAAATGATATTATTGCCTCCAGATCAGTTACAACAAAAACAACACTTGTGTACTACTGTAATGTTTGTGTAAGAAATAAAGGTTTTTGGATGTTTTCACAGATATATTTCAACAGGGATCACTTTTGAACTGTTGCTGCCTGTCCAAGAACATTTTAAAAACACTGAACAACTTTAGCCATGTCTCATTTCAGATGATTCCTCCGACAAAGGATGCAGACTTCAAAGGTGATTCCTTACTTTAATGCGTCCTTTAAAGCAGTAATTTCTAACCCTTTTTTTTTTTAACCCGAGACCCCCCCCCGGAAACTATTGTAAGGCTCCACTCCACATTTAATGATATTATCACTAATATAAGTTTACAGTAAGGTTGACAAAAAAGGTTGTTTTCAAACAAACGGTGTGTATACATACTGGATATGTTTATGCACAAATAATATCCAAATGTAAAATATGAAAGCAAAACATCAGTAGGCCATTTGCAACTAAAAAATGTAAGCCTTTGCGCCTTGCGGTCAAAAAAATGCTCTGAGTTTGTCACGATATTGGAGATGAGTCGTCTGCAAATGTCTTATTAATTTGGATGGCCTCATACATTCGTTAGTAAGAACTTTGCTGCAGATAATGCACTGTGGCTGGGTCAGGGACTATTTGCTTCAAGAAAATGGAATAAAAGCATAGTTCAGGTAACTATCTTGGCATTTTCTGCATTTCGTGTTTCTAGTATTGCTAGCGCTGCACCCCAAAATGTTTGGAGCTTCCTTACCTGGGTCCAGTATGCTTACTATTAGCTGCTGAAGGCAAATCAGTGAGTCTGTCTTTTTTCAGGAGGGCGAAATACAAATTTGTCCATTTTTTGGTCAGCCAGAGGATAAAATAAACTAAGGCAACATGATTGTTCTCCTCATCGTCTATAATTAAAATATGACGTGTCCCCCATTGTGGGCTGGGACGCCCCTGTCGGGAACCACTGCTTTAAAGGGTTCAGCCTTAAAATGAGACACAGGTTTCACTGTAAGAAATGCTGGGATCCACACAATTCCTTCATGTTGTCGAGACACAAATTGATTAGATAAGTTAACCTAATTGTTCTTACTAATTTAAGTGAATTAAACATAAAACAATTAAGTTGTCCCCCAAAAACTCAAGAATTGTGTGGATTCCACTAATTTTAAATAAGCAGTTAGAACAAGCAGCAAAAATCATTTTTGGAGTGTTTGTTTTATTAGTACATTCTTTTCATGCATTTGTACCCTTGTTTTTACATGATAAAACATACAGAGCATGCTAAACTCACTGCATACATGTACTGCATTTTATATGTACAAGACCTTTAAGAATGACAATTCAATTTGCACGTTGCTGCTGAATATTAAAAAAAACTATGCAGTTGTTGAACAAAAAAAAAAATATATATATAATGTCACATGTACAGAACAGTAAAAATGTGTGGAAGAGGAGTGTAGAATACTAAAAACAAGTGAAAGTGAGTGAAAGTATTACATGCACAAAATGGAAAAGGATTGTACAGACCTCTCATGTCTGCTTGTCCAGTTCGGCTCGAACCGGAGTTCTGACGTGGCATTCTCAAAGAAGTGCGCAGTGGAGCCTGTCTCTGCTCATCCAGATACGCAAGGTCCTCCAGGTGAGCCGAACTGGTGGCTGAAAAACAGAAACAATACTTACTGTTATCTTATATATATCATGTTGATGCTAAATATCATATGTTATTTCAAAACATAAAATGTTAAAATTTTACAACATTTCTATACAGGCAGTTGAGGGCAAAATTAGCTCTCCTGTGAAACTTTTTTTTTTGTTCAAATATTTTTAAGTTATATTTAATGGAGCAAAGACATTTTAACAGTATTTCCAATAATATTTTATCTTTTGGAGAAAATATTATTTGTTTTATTTCTACTAGAATAAAAGCCGTTTTCATATTTTTTCAGTACCATTTCAAGGTCAATATTATTTACCCCCCTCAAGTATTGTTTTCTCAATTTGGCACAAAACAAACTATAGTTAGACAATGATTTACCTAATAAAAATTCACTTTAAGCTGAACACTACTGTCTTAAAAAATGCCTAGTAAAATATTATGTACTGTCATCATTGAAAAAAATACAAATAAAATAAATCAGTTATTAGAAATCCGTCATTAAAACTATTATATTTAGAAATGTGTTGAAAGACATCTCTCTGTAAAACAGAAGTTGGGGAGAAAATATAAAAGAATTAAAATTAACAGTAAGGCTAATAATTCTGACTTCAACTGTATTGGTGCTTGAGCAATTTTATATGCATAAACAATCATGCTAATTAAGTACTTTAAAAGTGAACGCTAAAATAAATATTGGATCACACTTTTATCCACAAAAGAGGGAAGACTATAACAAACTCAACAAAGGGAGAAAACCGAATAATAACTTGGAAAAACAGCAACCATTTGTTATACTGTACTTCTTCATTTCAGCAGCTAAGTAAACACAGAGATGTTATTAAAGAGAAGCACAATATTCTGTTGTCATCTGAAGGATCTTACTGTTCCAGCTGAGTTTACAGTACCTGCACATCATTCAAAATCATCATGAGAGATCAGATTTCCTATCATTGTGTTAACCTTAAACAAACATTTACCACGGTAAAAAAAAAAACAAAAAAAAAAAACAGATTGAATTACCCTGATTTTGAAAGTAACAAACAATAACTGCATGTGATATTTACTTTTAATTAAAGCTACTAACGAGTGTAGTGATGTTTTTACAGTACTATAATAACATGGCTATATATGTAATTATTAATGAGATTAAAAGAGTTTAAGAACTAGTGTTTGTTTGTTTAGCCTATGGTTATTAGCTAGCATGAATATCTGCGCATGAATTCAGAGCCTTTTTTCCTTTGCTAATGAGGAGGAAAGTTCACGGTGGCTTGATGCACAAGATTATTAAGAACACAGTGGGTGGCCGCTGAATTTATCATGCCTCAAAGCAGCAGGAGAGAGCGATTGAAAGTATTTAACAGCGGCTAACATTGTTAGCACAGATGCTAAGGACGACTGGCCACTAACAATGTAAGGTGCAGAGCGCCACATACTAAGGAAAGCCTTTTGTTTTTCTCTGATGTGGTTTAATTGAAGACAGATTTCAGAAACAGAGCCTTGGCCTCATGGTACATGTGTGTACAAATGACAACTTCCTGTTGGTGTACATGTGCAGAACAACAGTTCAGTAATACAACCCTCCCCCAAAGTGAAACTCTGGAAAACATTAGGAGACCACTTCAAAGCTATTACTGCTTCTCTGGATTTGACATCATTAGTTTTGTGTTTGACAAAAATATTGAGTTGTGTTTTATTTTGAACACGTCTTCAAAATTTAAAAGTATCTTTTATATCTTTATTTGCAAAACATGATCAATATAGAACACAAAATCCATATACCTTAAACGTTATAAAATCATATGCATTTATACATATTTTACACTCAAACATTACTGTAGGTTTAAATTATATTATATTATATTATATTGTTTTATATTATATTATATTATATTATATTATATTATATTATATTATATTATATTATATTATATTATATTATATTATATTATAATAGTTTTAAACAAGACAACAATGCAAAAACTGCATAATAAAAGTTTGTTTTAGGCACATTTTTGTCTTAAAACTTAATTTAAAGACTTTTGACTTTTGACTGTCTTCACCTACTTAATCATACATTCAGCTTCAGTGTCCATTACATAATTCAAAAAGTAAAATTTTCCTCTTTTTTTGTGTTTACCAAGTTAAATAAACATTTAAATGAAATATCAGTTATAAAAAATACATTTTGTGTCTGTTTTATAACTCTGTTATAAAAGGCATGACATTCTTTATTGCACTGACAGGAAAAGCATGCAACTTGCATCAAGTGAAGTCACTTCCCTTGGTGGGAAACTCTGGAAGGTATTGAGGTGTGTAATTTACTCTTCCCTCTATAATTTGTACAAAAAAATGTAGGAAACACCAATAGTGGATTAATTAATGTCACTCTGTTATATTTCAGTGAATTTCTCATTTACTTTTTAAAAACATGAATATGACGAAAACTCTTACAATTGTGTTTTAGAAATACTATTTGGTTTGATATTAACAAAGCACAAAAAGGTCGAAAATATCAAATGTTATCGCCAACTAACTGTTTAAAAGGTTTAACAATGTTTTTTTTATCATATTTAAGCATTATTTTACATTACTAATGCATTCGGTAGCCATAGTTTTTGTTAATGTACAATTGTTAAATTGCTGTAAATTATTTCATATATCTCTTCAATTGTTAACACCAGCAGTTCTCCTGCTGCACCATGTTCATCTGCACTGCAGACTGTCTGGCTGGCATGATGGTGTTGCTAGATTTATAGCTGCTTGAACTGCGTCACAATGACTTTGGCTGCTATCACTGAACTGGTGTTTTACAGCTCCTCCATGGCACTAGGCCAGAAATCATGTCTGTATTTTACACCAAATGCTCGAGCATGTGCATATCCAACGCAGATTACACATGAAAATCATCAAATCTGTTTGTGTCAAACTAATACAATTTAACAAACGAGCAATGATTAACTATTTGGGACACACATATGATCACAATTAATTCAGATTCATGGAGGGAATTTATTTGGAAAAATGCAATCAGGTTCTTTATGACTTGAGATCAAAAAATGGTAAATGCTGGAGAAAATGCGTAAATTACTGGCTGATCATTTCCACATATTTTGGGATTGTAATATACACACATGATTTGTATAAAGAGATACATGCAATAATGGGATTTCATCTGGAATGTAATTGTAAAACTATACATTACTAACAACTAGCAAAAAGGCCATTACAAAGAAATGGCTTAAGGAGAGTCCTCCATCTGTAGGTGAATGGCATGATATTGTAAAAAAGGTGAATGATATGAAAGACAACAAGCCTGCATACTGGGGTAAATGGTTGAAAAGAAGAGCAATGTTTTAATTATATTGTGGTAGTTATTCACATAAACATACATACAAATATATACACACACACACACACAAATATATATATATATATATATATATATATATATATATATATATATATATCCTATTTATTTTAATTTACTTTTTAACTAATTCCTAGGTCAGAATAATGTATTTATAGTCAGTAAAAGTGTATTCAGAGGATCAAACAAGATCGAATTTTTATTTTATATTATTATTTATATATATATATTTATTTATTTATTTATTAGTGCTATTACTTATTTCTTTTTAACTATTTCCTATAGAGGTCAGTATATTGTATTTTAAGTCAGTATAAATGTGTGTTCAGAGGATCAAATGGAATCCATTTGTTTTTTTATTATTTATATACATTTATTCATTTTTCTTATTTATTTATTACTGCTATTACTTATTTCTTTTTAACAATTTCCTATAGGGGTCAGTGTATTGTATTTATAGTCAGTATAGATGTGTGTTCAGAGGATTAAATGGAATTAAATTTTTATTTTATATTATTTTTTATATACATTTATTAATTTTTCTTATTTATTTCTTTATTTCTTTATTTTTTGCTTATTTGTTTATTAATGCTATTACTTATATCTTTTTAAATATTTCCTATAGAGGTCGGTATATTGTATTTTTAGTCAGTAAGTGTATGTGTGTATTGTTTGTCTGTTCATATTATTTTGCTTAGCTCTAATACTATTCACTCTGTACGTTTTATTCTATTTTTCTCCCTTTGTCGATCTGTATTGCTTAATTTACAAAAAAAGGGGATCAAATTAAGTTGCCATAATTGTTTGTCATACTGAAACTCAACATAAGAAGAAACCTGATTTGCAGAGAATAGAACATAAAAAATTTGGTAGTGGGTTTGATTACTTTGCTAGAAACTACAAAGAAAACCCAAGCAACATAATGAAAACCACCACCCACGTGCGTCTCTGCATTGCGTTTTATGTAGATATGTGCAAGTGAACAGAGGAGAACCTGTCTAGACATGCTGAAGTCTGTCTGTCTGCAAGAATAATCAAAAGTGTGCTGAAGTCAGAGATCACACAGGTGATGAAAGATGAACTCGTAGAGAGACTTACAGATGAGCAGAGAAAGAAATGAAAAGTGTGAAGACTGAAAGAGATGAACAGCGTGAGATGTGAGCATGCATGAGTAAGAAAGAAAACCAGATGGAGGGAAGGAGGGAGAGAGAGAGATGTGTAGATGGATGAACAAATAGATCAACTTGTGTGTGTGTGTGTGTGTGTGTTCTTGAACAAAGTATTCACAACACATCACATTATTCTATAATAATAATCTAAAATGAAAATAATCAATAATTATAATAATTTATTGAACAAAAACTCTAAACAATTTATTAATATACTTATTAACAATTATTGTTATTTTTATTATTATGATTATTGGTATTAACATTATTATTTTAATTATTTAGATTTATTTATATAAATGTAATTATTTAATTATTGTTTTAATTATTATTGCAATAAACAATATTATAGCTTATTATTGTTATTATTATTATTATTATTATTATTATTATTATTATCATTATTATCATTTATTATAAATAAGTAACATTGTTTTCCTACCTGTCACGTCACATTTATCTATAATAAAAATAATAATAATAATAAAATAACTTTAAATAAAATGCATTATTGTTATTAATAATAATAATATTATAACATTACTATAACATAATTATAATAAATACAAATACAAATAATTATTAAGTATTTAACAAAATTTAAAAAATATATTAATTCAAGTATTACCAACACAATTATCATCATCATCATCATCATCATCATCATCATCATCAGTATTATTCTTATATTAATATTATAGTAACAATATAAAGCAATAACAATATTATTATAGCTTAGTATTACTTATTATAAATAAGTAACATTGCTTTAATACCCGTCACATCACATTTATCTATAATAATAATAATAATAATAATAATAATAATAATAAATAATAATAATAACAATAATAATATAAAATTAGAATCATAATAAATAAATAATATGCTTATTTAACAAAATTATAAAAAATATTAATAAAATTATTAACACAGTTATCATCAACATCATTATTATTGCTATTATTATCATCATTATTATTGTTATTTTAATATTAACATTCCAATAACAATATTAAGCAATAACAATATAATTATAGCTTATTATTACTTATTATAAATAAGTATTATTGTTTTCCTACCTGTAACATCACATTTATCTATAATAATAATAATAGTAATAATAATAATAATAATACAATTAGAATTACAATAAATAAATAAATAATTATAACAAGTTTATTTAACAAATACAAACAAATTGTTAGTTTAAATATCATTAACACAATAATTATATTCAACATAATTATCATTTTTATTAATATTATCATTTTATTATTATTATTGCACTATCAATATTATTAACAATAAAAAAGGTTTTGTTATAGAATAGAATGCCTTTTTTTGTCACTGTACACATATACAGTGTATTTGTTACAATTAAATATATTAATTAATTTTATTTATATATTAAATATATTATTATGTATAATAAATAAGTAACATTTTGTTTTGTAAGCTATAAAGCAAACAAACTGCCTAATAAAACTATTAAACCCGTCTTTTTCAATTAGATTTTATTGATAATTTTTTGTCAGTTTACTTATATTATTTCTTTCAGAATGCACATACGCACATGCACACGTACAAGCATACGCACAGAAACTAAAGTATAGGGTGCTCAGCTACTGCACTTAACACTATTTTCCCACATGTGAATCCAAACCCAGCAGCAGAAATCAGAACTGATCAATAAAAGCTGGAGGAGATTGACACAGGCGTCCTTGCTTTGCAGCATCAGGAGCTCAAATGGCCCATAAAACGGAGAAGAGGCCACTTCTATGGCTCTCCCAGTAATCGCCTTTACTGACCTTGACATTTGAAGGGAATTGGAAACACGTGTGTGTTGACTTTTAGGGTCTGGATTATGTGGGATATTTCCTGTATCTGCAGTTCACCGTTCATGAAGAGAAGTGTTCAAAGAGCTTTGGCTGAATGAGCCAAACACTGAGCTCACTCTAAATATTCACCCGCGCAGAAGGATGAATGAGAGACATTGTAACTTACAGCTTTTGACTGCTTGACTGAGTCTTGACCAGCTCAGCATAATATATTTATGGAGGCTGAATTATTAAAAAGACTCAATAGAAGAAAAGCAGCCAAAACAACCAAAAGCTGTATCATAATTATATTAATAATAATAATAATAATAATAATAATAATAATAATAACAGTTATTATTTTTAATATTATTATTATTAATAATATTTTATGACAATATTATGATTATTACTATATAAATTCTCATTCTTTATCTGGACTTCCCACATGCTAATACCGCGTTTTAAATTATTCTTCCTGTTTAAGGAGGTTCCAATCAAAAGAAATGAAAAAATCTAAATATTATCTGTATAACAACTTTGTACTACTGCAAAACTGTATGTTTGACGTTTTGCTTTATTTTAAACCATCATGTAAATAACATTATACATTACTCTGTTATGTTCATTTGACATTTGTATTACATGGAACTATGTGGCCAATGCTCTTTTGAGTTCAAAGTGTTTTGATCCTCCAAATAATTTTCTGTCTGCATTTACAGTAGCTCTATTTAACATGTCTGTTTACTTATAATATTCAGTGGTAACACTTGCTATGTTTCCATCCACCTATTTTGATGCAATTTGGATATGCGCTTTCAGGATGCTGCATAAAACCCTTTAAACACATCACTTAAAACCATTTAGGTGTGAACATGTCAAAATAAATTGGTAAGAAAAAGGACTAACAATGCAATTTGAAAACAACATGTCTCAGTGGAGAAAAAGTTTGGAGCACATATTTGATGCATAAGAAGTTAAAATGCAAAGCTATACTGTAAATCTATTACTTCTTTACTAAAAGGAAATAGGTCCATAAACTACTGTTTATTGGAATAAGTAAATTACAAGAATTAATTTCATTAAATATTCATGCTAAAAATATCATTTTTTGTTTATTTATTTTTTAAATGTATCTAATATTTCCAGGCAGGTTTTAGTGAACTAGCAATATTGTCAAAAACACAGTTCTAAAAGTCCTCATCTCCTACTAAAACAAACACTTGCGATTGGTTCATGAGATCAGTGAGTACCGATTGGCTCTTCAAATGTTATTATCGGCAGATCGATCAGAGCCTCCGTAGTATGCAGTCAGCAATACAGTATTGCTGATCAAAGTAGTAGAGGAGCAAACACTCACCTGCCACAGAGTTGGGCCGGGGCATGAGGTAGAGCGGGATGGAGTGAGCGGAGTGAGACACAGAGTGCTCCAGGCTCCTCTCAGGGATTTTATTGAGGCTGTATGTGGAGGCGGCCATGTTTTCATCCACCCTATAGAGGAAGGAGTCCGTGCCCATTGACTTTTGTGCCTGCCAGAGTTTCAGGCTGCCCCGTGAGCCCTCGCTGTGTTTGCCTCCGTGCTCCGCATTCTCTGAGTAACTCGTGAGTGTCGCTGTAAACAGAAGACATTTGGGAGATTTGAATTGGATGCACACTTGACTTTCGTGTTCATGTATATCACAGTTGTCATGTTGACATGTTGCCCATAAATCCAATTAGTCCAATTACGATATATAACTATAATTTAAAACAATAAGAAAAAAATGATGAATACATTTAATGAATACATTAAAAACACTTTATTTAAAGATGTACATACTATAATAATTACAAATAATTGTGCATAATTACATGCAACTAACTCTAACTCTTATCTTAAACCTAATAGTAAGTACATGTAATGAATTATTATCACTCAGTAGTTAAATGAATATTTACACTGTAATAAGGACACTAAAAACCATGTGTAACCAAATATTATTTCGAAAATTAATGTGTGTTCATTACAGATTCAGTTCCCTGGTTCGTTACATACATGATATAGAGGATAATGTGCGTCACCTATAATGCCGCTGTCCCGGCTCTCCAGTGTGGATGTTGGACTGGTGATGGAGCCGTAAGCACAGTCTCGGGTGCTCATGTTACCAGGGGCTCCAGCAGGCAGAGTGGAGCAGGGGCTTCCAGCAGGTGGAGAGGCTGTGCTGCTGGCCAGACTGGAGCAGGGGCTGATCCTCTGGGTCATGGAGAGGCACTGAACACAACACAAGACAACACACTTATAAAGTATACTAAATTACAATTTTGGCCATATTTTTTGTCAGTATTACACAGTATATATGTTATTATTTATTTTATAATAATGATTAGAAAACTTAACAACAACAACAACAACTACTACTTCTACAACAACAACAACTGCTACTACAACAACTATTACAACAACAACAAAAACTACTACAACAACAACTACTACTACTGTTACTACCACAAAAACATTTACTAATACAACTACAACAACTTCTACTACTACTACTACTACTACTACTACAACAACTATTAATACTACAATTATTACTACAACTAAAACTACTAAACTACAAAAATAACTGCAACAACAACAACAACTACTACTAATACTACTACAACAACAACAACAAATACTACTGCTACTACAAATACTACAACAATTACTACTACAACAACAACCATCAACAATCACTACTTCAACTACAAAAACAACTACCACCACTACAACTATTACTAAAACAACTACTACTACAACTACTACAACAATCACAACTAATTCAACTACAACTACAGCAACTACTACAACAACTAAAACAACTACTACAACAACAACTACACCAACAACTACTGCTACTACAACAACTACTACAACTACTTCAACAACAATTACAGCAACTACAACAACTATTACAACAACTGCTACTACTACTACTACTACTACACATAATTCAACTACAACTACCACAACAACTACAACTACTATTACTACAGTACAATCACAACTACTACTACTACTGCAACTGCCAGAACTGCAACTACAACAACAACAACAACTACTACTACAACAACTAATTCAACTACAACAGCAACAACTACCACTACTGCTACTACTACGACGACGACAACTACTACTACAACAACTAATTCAACAACAACTACTACAACAGCAACAACTACCACTACTGCTACTACTACAACGACAACTACAACAACTAATTCAACTACAACTACTACAACAGCAACAATAACAACAACAACTACTACTACAATAATAATAATAATAATAATAATAATAATAATAATAATAATAATAATAATAATGATCATAGTCTTTTCTTTAGTATTGTATTTCCTTAATTAATAATAATACACTTTGCATTATAAAACTATGTAAAATAATTACAAAATTCATGTAAATAATAATAAATAGTGTATTGCTATAAAATGTACATGGTAAAAGTACCAGCAGCAGCAGCAGTAAAATTATAACCTTATGATTATTATTATCACTAATAATTGCAAAATAGCTATTTACCCTTAAAAAAAGGCATAACAATAGAACTAATTATGTTTTATTAAATATATCACACAATTTTTATTGTATTTTCATTGATTAGACTCACATTTTGCCTACTCGGGACACAGATTTACAGCTCACAATGTAAATTCTTTTCCCAGCTAGACATCTTGCATTATCTAAAGGTTTAACAGAATGAATATAAGTAAATAATTTGTAAAATTGCTCTTAAAATAATCCATTAACTTCAACTGCGCACTACACACTGAAACACAGTGCTCAAATTACTTATTTTACTGGTGTTTCTTGAATTCATTGTTACACAGCAGAAATATAGCATACCGAAGGCTTTCTGATAGATCAGTGCACCAATGCGTATATATGAGAGTCGTATTCCATAAAAGCAGCATCGCTGAATGACTTTCACACACAAAACTGCCCACAGAAGTGGAAATCTGCTGACTGCTATTTAATGATACAGTGCTGTCCCATATTTCTGCTGAGGACTGCACACTCATGTGGAATTATCTCTTTTTATGGCCTGGGCTGACTTCAACTATTTTCCACTGTGACTCAGTATTATGCAATTTAATACAATGTTATTGACTTTATGGTATACGACAGAGAGAGAACGTTGAATTTAAACTCATAACCAAGCGCAAAGGGGAGAGAAATTAGGAATATTTTGGCACATTGCGGTCAGCTACAAGACATGAAAACCAACCAGAATGGTGGATCGTTTTACCCAATGGGATGAAAGAGCGAGAACGACAAAGTGAGAAACATAAACAGACAAAAGAATGATAATGAAAGAGTTGCAGGGGAAAAAGCAGAGAGGGAGTAGAAGAGACATGGAAAGAATAAGTGGTTAAGAGAGTTCATGTCTGACTCCGGGTTTGCCGCGAAGTCCACATTAATGACCTCATACAGACGAATATGAGCTTCAGTGAGTCAGTGTCTATCCAAAAGTTGCTTTAGATAATGCTTTTTCTTTTTTTGGCAACCCAAAAAGGGGTCATAGTGCAAACCAAAAGGATGTTCTTTCATAAAAACAACAGTTTCAGATTGGAAAATGAGATTAAAAAGCAAGTTAAAGCAGCAAGTTGTAATAAAAAGTACATTTGAATTATACAAATTCTATATAAGTCAATGGCAGAAATGTATTGATTGCAATTTTCTTGGCCCACTTTGATGTCTGATTTTTGGGAAATTTGACAAACCAATAGTTTTTTCTTCTAAGAACTATAATTTGCAGCATATCTAATTATAAATCTAACATACAGTATACGCTTCTGGCAATACAGTTGAGGATCAAAATGCAGCAATCTATATAGGCTCAATTTATATTTATATCTATATAAAATTGATTTAGATAATGCTTACATCACACTAATAATGTGAGTGTATGTGGTTGGCTAAGGACAGAATAGAAGTCAAGGCAACTAACCTATATTCAAGTATACAGATATTTGTTTTTTCTTGACTTTTCCAAAACTTTACATATACGGTTTTCCGTTACCGTATATGAACCCTGTATACACTAAACTAGTTCATTTGTTTATACATCTTTTTATGCTTTCATTCTATATACATTCACAATGTACTATTTGAGAAATATATTGTAGAACACTTATCATCCTTTTTTATTTTATTCTCTCGATGCTGAATTAATAATTGTTGAGTTGACCTTGTATTCAATATATTATTTTAGCATTGTTTAGATATTCTAATGAGTCATGAGACCATACTGTTCAAAATGAACTCCAGACACACTTGATCTCTGTTACCCTGATGAAGGCTAGGGTTTGCAGGAACGCATAGGTGCAGATTTAAGAAAAAGCCATGTTAATAAAGATTTTTGATTATTTTCCCCAAATTTTTCGAGTGCCTTGAACTTCCTTTTGCTGTTTATTCTGATAAATCCCTTAATCCAAAGAGCACCGACACATTTATTAGGCTACCCCTGTGCACTTTTTGTTTGATTTTGGATTTTAAACTTTACTTTAAACTTCTTTTCAGTACACACTTTTTCAATGTTTACTAAATTTAACAGTACTTTTTGAGAGGTATTTTTTGAAAGTCAAACTACATGATGCTTACCAGTTTTCTATCGACAAATCCACCCGAATGTCCTAGTGTAAAGCTGTTTGAAGGTTTTGATCTTACTTTTAAACCACCAACATTGGAATGTCTTCTGAGATTGACTGAAAACCACTCAAAACTAAAAACACTTTACACTTCCTGTCACTATGAACCAGCCAGATTTTGGGTTCAAAAATGTTCCTTTAATATGCTTCCAAATAGCTCAGTCTACACCTTTCTGTGTAATTCAGGATTCGGTGTGCGTGGGAGAGGTTGGCTTTGAATGGCCTTTCAGTGACCACGCTGGCCTGGCAGGGTCTGCTTTCTGAAATAGCTGTATGGATGTCTGAGCCGCTCAGCTTTGGCTGTGGACGGCAGGAGTCTTGTGTTGTGCCATACATTCCTACTCTCAACTATGTGTCGGATCAATGAGGTCAAACTGAACCGTGAACAATTAGGAGGGAATGAAACGCTTCTGATTCTAACCAAGGGAATGTGAGACCGAATCCAATAAGAACATTCAAGAGTTACGAGAATGAAAGCCACATGGAATAAAGACTAATGCCAGGCTCAGACTAACTCATAATGAAATTTGGATGCAGCACACTTTCTATGAATTTCTCACCTCAAATCCCAACACATGGAATAAATCGATTGATTATTATTATTTACTTATTATTATACTAATTATTTGACAACTGCCACTTTAGACAAAACATTCAAAATAGAGTAGGTCCCTCTTTAACCACCTCACATTAGCAGGTAATATGCAGCAAGCGTCAGAAGTAATCAAGATTTCATCTTTGATTCTCAGGAGGTGAAATCAGGCTAAAACTCCTAGGCTTTAACTGAGGTGTGGCCAGATGATATGCAAACTACATTTCTCTTCTTGATAAAGCACACCAGCATCTTCTTATTTAGAGTTGATGAATAAACATTGTAAAAACATATGCAGTGAGCAGCTTGAACTCTGTTTGATCCTAATTTATTAATCACACTTGTGGTCTTCACAATCAAAAGGGATACAGACCTATAAAGTACCCTAAAAATGTATTTTTGTTTTAATAATATTTATTTGAAAAGGGACTAAGCCGTAAAGAAAATTAATAAATGAATAATATTTATTTGATTTGATCTTTAATTTTTAAGGGGGAGGTTTGTAATTTTGCAAACTAAATATCTGTTGAGGTTTTTGCTTATTTCCCATTCACTTCCTTTGATGGTCATTTTTTGACCGTGAGGATACAACAAGTGTTTTTTTTCAACCATTTTGCATGCTTAAAACATGGCCTCATTTTTTTATGTTTTCACATAGCAAATGCCAATAAATTCCAAGTGTTTTAGACAATTTCGTTAATTCTGTAATTAAAAAAACAAAACATTCCAGCTTAAAATGACCGAAGACTACCAGAGGGTTAAAGGAGTTATAAACATATGAAGTATGGTGTACTTTTTAGTACATCCTCAGACCCTTTCAATTTGATGAAAAGACATAGCATCTCAGATTATTTGATGAAACTGCACAGTGACCCCTAGGACTAGCTTTTAGGACTGAAGAAAAACATGATCAAGTGTCAGGTCTCCTATATATGGATCGGGTGAAACTGCCTTAGATGAAAAAGCATCAGACCAAAAGGCACTGGATGAAATGGCATAAGACAAAAAGTGATTGGATGAAAAGGCATCATCAAAATTTTTTTCAGTTAAAGACAACATTTTGATTACTCCTGTGAATTTGTTTTCCCAAAATATTTCCCAAGTGCTTCTTAACAGATATATTTTAAACTTTTTTTTTTCAAACGTAATAGTTTTAATAACTTAATTCTAATAATTAATTTAATTTGTCTTTGACATTTGACGGTACATAATATATTTTACTAATACATTTCAAGATTCTTAGCTTAAAGTGCTATTTAAATGCACTAATTTAAGTAGGTTAATTAGTTTAAATTGTTGGACAAGTGAGGTTTGTACTGTAGTCAAACTAAAATAAATAAGAAAAACATATTAGAAAATACTTTGAGAAATGTCCCTGTATATATAATATAATATAATATAATATAATATAATATAATATAATATAATATAATATAATATAATATAAATAATATAATATAATATAATATAATATAATATAATATAATATAATATAATATAATATAATATAACATAGTATAACATAATATAATATAATATAATATAATTTAAGTCAAATTTTCCTCCTAATTTGTTCATTATAAAAATATTATTGTCATAAGTACAATTTCATGTTTTTATTTTTAAGCCAGAAAAGGAGGAACATATTTGAACTTGAATTCATTTTTAAAGATTTTACAGATTTAAAAAACAAAACCTTGTATTCCATTTAAATGTAAATTATTATGACATATTAATTGAGAATATAACTTTTAATGAACAAGTCAAAAATTGCTTCTTTATTCTGGTCTCATTCTTGTCAGTAACCTGGCCCTATTTGTCTAAATTCTAAATTCTTCCTTAAGTAATTCCTAATTTTACAGGAGTGGAAATTAATATAAACCAGCGGCCCTAGATTTAATTTATTCTGACCTCAGTTTTATTGTTACTGTAATGTATATTAAAATCAAGCACTTGAAATCCCAATCCCACAAAATCATGACTTGTGTATAATAAAAAACAATCTATTAACATAGTATTAAAACAAACATTTAATCCTGTTTCTTAACCATTTTTTTCTGTACAATCAAACTTTGTATTACTGACTTACTCAGTCCTGAAATTCCTAATGTGTTGCTACATGAAGTTTATTTGGTAGCATAATCAGTATATCAGTAATTAGATTAAAAAATACAATACAAAAATACATTTCAATTCACACAACATGACTAATAGTATGTTAGTGTACTGGATAATGAATTGAACACATGTTGGATTCAATTTTCCAGACTTGAAAGCTTTCTAAGCACTGCAAACCCAGAAGCAGATGTTGACTGGGTAAGATCAGTGTGGACTGTAAATAGAGCAGCGGCAGGGGTTTCAGCATCTGCTGTCTGAGACATGCCTAGTTAGACCCGAACTGCATCAATATCCCAGCACAAACTGCTGCTGTTCATCCAAAACCCTGAAACATCTGTCACGATTTAGAGAGCAAGGATATCTGTGTTTTGGAGGTGGGGAAACGCCTACTGACAATTATCATTTACCCATCATCAAATGACAAAGTCACTTGATGTATTTTTTTATGACTAATGAGATTGCAAATCAAACCTGAGGGTCATCTTGCTCCTCCATGGTGTATTGTGCTCCAGCAGGCCCTTCATTCACTTTATCCCCCAGCAGGAACCCCAGTCGCGTCATCAGTGTGTTTGCAGCCTCGTCTACAGAAGGAGGAGGACCCAAATTCTGCCCTTCATCCCCTGTAAGAGAATAACACAGAAAGACAGAGGTAAAAAATAATGTTTATAAAGAACAAACCCTGTACTAGAGCGAATTTTGCTGTAAAACATTTGTTTCAGCATTCATAAATAAATAGAAAGTTTACATTTATTTATTTATAACACCAGTATTGTCTGACTGGTACTTAAAAAAGCTATTTAAAGCATCTTTGCAGACTACAATGTTGTTTTCAAGTAGTAGATCACTAGTATTTTTACCAAAAATGGTTTAAAGTCGAATATTTCTATATTTTTTATAGTATATCTTACAATTAGGGATTTAGAGAAAATTTGGCAGAATTATTGGCTGAAAATGTAATTTTCAGTTTTTAAACAAAAGATAAAAAGGGTCAAAATATAAGTGTTATGAAGCTGACACTGACAAGACTCATGCAGGCAATGGTCAAATAAAAGAGCATAACATACAAAAGGGTAATTCAATAAACACGGTCAAAATACAGTCAAGAGGTCAGTCTAAGCAGTAAAGAATCAAATGAGAATCAGGCTAATATCAAAACAGAAAAAGCAAACAAGGAGAAACACTTCGTAATGTTTGATAGAAACAAGACTCAGCCATGTGTGAGTGAAAGTGACATGTATATATAGTCCTTGTGGAATGTGGAAATGAGCAGCAGCTGTGTCTGAATGTGTGAATTTCTGAATTATTGTCAGCTGTTGTATGAGTTGATGGGCGCAAAGAGTTCTGGGAGTTGTAGTTCGGTAGAATGTAATCTACCAATAAAGATAAAACAGCACTGGCGATTAGTATTACAGACTGCAGGAAGTAATCCTCAGCAGGGACAACACTGCTGGCAATCACAACAATAATAAAAAAATTATAAAAAAAAAAAGACTATGCTGTGCCAAACTGTTCAGCAATGTTCAATGTGCTCATCTCTAGCTCTATTCACTGTGTCCTCTGAAGCAGCTTTCACACTGGATGTGAAAAACAATGCGCTTTAAAAACTCATTTATTTCAATGACAGAAAACCATTGACTAGTTTGCACACACACACACACACACACACACCGCAAATTCAAAATAGTAAATTATTCCTCTCTGTGAATTTTTGGCACATTTACCCATATAAATATCTATGCATCAACCAAACATTGACTGGAAAAGCAAAGTCTACTCAAATAACACACCGACATGTCATTAAAATGTCATTATTTTCTTTACTTGTGCTTTTTTTTTTGTTTAAGTTATTGAGTTGAATTTAAAAGTTCAACAAAATAACTTTAAATTATTCAATTATAAATAAGTATTACAAAGGATTTTCGGTTTCAGCTTTCAGAGTTCAATTCAATTCATGCTTATTTTGTTGTGTTTATATTGCTTTTACAATGTAGATTGTGTCTAAGCAGCTTAATATAGAAGTTCTAGTAAATTGAAGCTGTAGTTCAGTCCAGTTTTCGGAGTTGAAGTTTAGTTTAGTGTGGTTTAATTTTTACTGCTGAAAGTTCAAACACTTAAGAGCAAATCCATCGATGCACAAGTCCACAAGTCCCACACCAAGCAAGCCAGTGGCGAGGAACAAACTTAACTAACTGATGAAAGTCAAGGAAAAAAAAACATGAGAGAAACCAGGCTCAGTTGTGCACGACCATTTTTTTTCTCTGGTCAAACTTCCTGTGTGGAGCTGCAGTCTAGGCACTGAAAGCTGGAGAATGCTAGACGTCCATCATGTAGAATTGCAGGTGTAAGTAAGTCACCGACGGGTGATCAGGCTGGCCTATGGGAACAATGCAAGGACTTGTCTGTCACTGTGGTCTTTCTGGAATCAGTCTCAAGCTCTCCACTCCTCCATTGCCACCACAGCGTCAGCTCAGGATACGGCCTGGTCCAGGATTACGGGTACCCTGGCATCATTTCCTTTAAGGTCTTGGATCTCATCAATGGCACAGCATAATCTCTAGAGACCACAGAATGTGTATCCTTTACTATCTCTAAGTAACACTTTGAGAAACTGCTTTCTATGGCTTCAGTAAAGGGATTGTTATGATTCCTGCCAATCCACATCATCCAGCGTCGAGTTTGACACGAAAATCACAACCACATCCAGAAATCATGTTGCATACCTGTGGTCTCATAGCCCCATTTGCATGCTTGTCAGTTCATTTATCCACAACATTGCTAAGCATCCTGCAAAGAATGCTAATAAAATAGAGAACACGATTCTCCCATGATTCTGAAGAGACAACTTAACTAAAGCTTTTGTCAAACTTAGCTGCATACGTTTTCAAATATTTTCCTTATTTGATGTAACAACAAAAAAGCAACAACAAAAAACATCTTATGAACAAAAAGGATTAAATGTAATTCCTATGACCTTCACACATTGATTTCAAAGCTGAGATTTTGAATTAGTTAAAGTTTGTAACACTAAAATAATAACACTGGTTAAAAAGAATCAAGACTAAAGCTGCATGACTGCAGCTTGACCAATATAATAATCAGAGGTTTGATGTTGACATAAATCATAACTATTTAGACTTAAGACCATTCGAGTGTTTGAACACAGATTGTGATATTTAACAGATTAATTGTGCAGCTCTCAATCACAGCAGATAAAGACATGTAAACCAGCCCACAATGCTGTTAGCACAAACTCCTCGCCACACCAAAACCACCTCACAATCCCCAAGAGCGGGATATCTGGGTGTCACAGTGTTTCTCAAACCCTGGTCACAGATGAAGCGTCTGAGACTGTGCCTTCATGTATACAGGCAAAGTCAAAGGCTGATCTCTAGACTTCAAAAGAAGAGCAGTCCCCAAGGTGGCTAAATCCACAGTGAGAAGAGCTTTTTCAAGATTACTTTTCCCATCATGCCTTTCACCTCTCACCATAAAAAAAGAGAACCGACTGCAAAACAAACAGAAATAGGAGGCAAGTCGCTACACCTCTAAGGCGTAGGATTGTCTGACTGTCAAAACCGTCCTCTGAGACTCCAAATGTCTCTAAGATCAACCAAAACCTCAGCAGCTCTGCACAGCAGCTAGTGTTAAAGGCCCTTCACACCAATCACTTTAAAGATAACAATAAATGTACAGTTCTAAAAATCATTCTGAATGATATAGAAGAGTTCACACCATTACAATAAAGATGTAGAGAAATGATATCACTGGGATCACTTTAAGAACAATTTATTTCTCAGTTAAATGATAAACACTGACAATCAGTCAGAATCCATTGAAATTTAAAGTCAAACAATTTAAAGCTATAAAACATTGTGGAGAAGCTCTACTTGATGTTAAGCCCACATTTAAAAGATTATTTAAAGATAATAACCATCTTTGTAAACAATTAATTATACCATGAAAAATAATGACTAAAATAATGACACTACTACACTGGCTATGATCACTAAAATTACTGTTTGATTTGATTGATTACACAAGCTGGATTCACTGGTTCATCCCTTTATAACCACAGTGTACCCATCTTCTGATGGCTACTTCCAACAGGATAAAGCACCATAAAGCGTAAACAATCTCAGACTGGTTTCTTGAACATGACAATGAGTTCACTGTACTCAAATGGCCCCCACAGTTAGCAGATCTTAATCCAATAGAGCACATTTGGGATGTGGTGGAATGGGAGATTCGCATCATCTGCAGCAACTGTGTGATGCTATCATGGAATACCATGAACTACAGTACCTTGTTTGATCTATGCCATGAAGGATTAAAGCAGTTCTGGAGGCAAAAGAGGTACTAGTAATATGTACCTATTAAAGTGGCCGGTGAGGGTAGACATTACCTATATGCTATAAAACTACGGGTTACCTATGTTCATATACAATAACTTATATTTGACTGTAATGCAATGGTGTTCACCTTTTGCAAATCTGCATTGAAACAACAATTATTGTAAAAAGCGCTTTACAAATAAAGCTGAATTGGCAGTCAGCATGTAAAACTGTGCACAAAACAATAGTATATTTCCAGAAAATGTTACGAAGATTATCAATTAGTTTCTTGTTTTGAATGGCATGTCTCTATTACATGGAAATCTGTTTGACTGAATGCATGGTTGATTCCAATCTCCCTTTTTTCGGGTACCGTCCTAACACAAAAATGTTGTCATAGCAACAATGTATTTGCTCAAGATTGTGCCGAAGCATCCATCTCTTTCATTCATTCCCCAACCAAACCTTCCTCGGTCGCTCTCCTGTTTCCCTGTCCCTCCGGCGGGATGTATGTCACTTTTGACAGCATATAATAAAGTTCAGAAGCCCACTAATGACACCAGCAGGCGCTGAAATAGCACAATGCTGGAAAATCTTGTTCATTACAAGCATGAAGTCTCAGAGGTTTGTTATTCTTCTGCTCTCTTTTTATTCTTTTGACCGCAATGCCATTCATTTAAGAAAGCATTGCGCCTCTTCAGACGTTTTCAAGACCACAGATGGTAAAAAAAGAAGGTAGAGGAAAAAAAAAACCATGACCATTCTGAACGAAAGATTCACAAACATGCCAGCAATGGTGCATTAAAGGTAATCCTGAGGAAGTGAGCAGAAGAAAACACTCACATATTTGTGGACCACACACATTTCTGAAGGCATAACGTAAACATGTAGTCATGTATGACAATCACGCTTCACTTCTGTTTGAAAGATGAGCTTTCTGACATCCAGACAGGCCACGGGGGGTTGGAGACGTGTGTTTGTGGTGAGCGGAGTAACAGCAGGAGCTTTACTACAGTAAAACACAAGGTGATTTACAATGCCTGTTCACTTGGTGGACATATTTGCAATTACTCAGCTATTTCTGATAAGAACGCCTTATATATACATGCTGAAATCTCAAAAGCTGCTTGTTACACTCACCTTTTAAATAACAGGTTTCAAAACAGCAACACAATCCGGCATGAACTGTCAGACTTAATAATAACAAATGTTGTTTTGTATACTCAAAAGCATTAAAAAGAGCTTTCAATAGTGTATGCATGGTAAAGTTTATTGCTCTGTAAAAAAAC